GTGGAAAGGACTGGATGTTTTGGTTAAAACTGCTCCCAGAAACCAGGAAAGGTGTAGGAGTTGATGTTTCCTCTCCAAGGCTAAACAAGCCAGAGTCATTTCTGGTACAATCATCACCACGACACTCAAATTGTACAGTCACCCTCATTAACCGCTCCGTGTCAAACCGTGCTGAAAAGGGCTGCCTTCCTAGCCAGGTCGTGTAGTTTCCTTCGTCTACAATCACGCTGGTGGCTCGGCGAAAGTATGGGTCGCAGGCGTCAAAGAGAAACTCATTGTAGGACGTTTGGAAGGCTTCCGCTAGCTCTTGCCTGGCTTCGTCATCCAAGTCATCCAGGTCACCGGTTACTTGCAAAAAGATGGTCGATTGCAAGCTGTCTGCTGTTGCTGAACAAGCGAATTCCTTGACTTCAATGAACTGTCCTATTGACTCGATACTTTCGACAATATCAACGTCGTCTAGATCGTCGAGTTCGTCCGAGAACGTCGACTGGAACAATGTCGTACTGGGTGCTCCTGAAGCATTGACATTCCTTGCCGAACAAAAGCAAGCCGATTGTTGTCTCCCTTGCGCCTGTGCCAGTAGTGACGGTTCGATGTTTACCGACAGGGACGTCACGGATGGGTCTAGAATTTTAGCGAACTGAATGCCGTGCATGTCTATATAGAGTATACTATAGACGCTCACTCGACAAGTATGAGAGCACTCCGTCTTGACACTGAGAGGGGGAAACGTGGAAGACACTATTTCATTGGTTCAGAATGCTCAGCATTCTACAGAAGCCAACGAAAGGTACTGTCCAGAAAGGATCATCTCTGTCGCACCGTTCGTCAGCGCTTGGGCTCGCTGCAACAAATCTAACGATAACCTATGGAGCGCGTGAATAGCTAGCAGTAGCATGCCAAGCCTGAGCTTGTCTGCACTTCATCCTGACTAGCTATCACGTTACAGCTAGAGCTACGATCGGCCTTCTGCCTGTCTTTCTCGTTCGTGCGTCGGTGTGTCTTTGTTCGCGTGCAGTGTCTGCACTCGCATGGTGTGCTTCGATCTATATATTGCTCAGCTCTCCTAGCTAGAGCGAGCTGCTCTGAAGAACAGGTATCTATGTTCCTACTCCTGACATGCACAAGAGTTCTATAGCAAAGTATCCAGCGAATAGTGTGTTCGAATGTCTACTAGTAACTGCCTCATCTCCAATCTCTCGGAACTTTCTAGTCCTGTCCTCTCAGATATGTGAGAGGTCAATTAGGTATCTATCTCCGAGTAACTGATCGAGTTCGCCTTGCTCTTGTCCTCTCCTGTACTACCGGCGACTAGCTTATGCAACCAGCCGTTGCTCGCATCTGAGCACTGAGCAGCGCTTGCCTCTGCCGTAGTCCGCTAACTCTGTCTCACTCATGAGCTGTGGCATCACCGTGAGCGCTTCTGTAGTTGGTGTGTGAGAATACTGTAGTCATCTCGGTCCGTGCTTCTGTTGATGGAGTCTACTCTGACTGTATGTGAGAGAACATTACGTGTCATTGATTTCCTCCACATACGTTTCTCAAGTGCGAGTCCTCTGTTACTTGCGGAGTCACGCCTCATGCGTCGCGTCTATCGCGTTTCGATGTATCACTGCACCCATGGGTGAGCTAGTAGCAGCGGCATTAGCGCGTTCTCTATTTCCCTTATTTTGATCAGGTTAGCCTGCTAGTGGGTCTATATGCTCACTCTGCACGTCTGCCTGCTCCTCCAGTCCCTCTAATCACCTTGGCTCTTGCTTTGCATCTTCGTGGGTTTGTCCTTTCTTCTTGCGAGTGCGTCGAATTGAATTCGTCCAATGTCGGCTTCCTGCTCCGCTTCACACGATTACATTCATTCCACGCGGTCTGGCTGTGGAGTGATGAACTCGTTGGAAGAGCTAATACTCCGGACTATGACTCTTCCTATCCAAAATCAGCGAGTCGGAGGCTCCGCAACGCCTGTTCTTGGACTTACACATTCGCTAGTTAGATACCTGTAGTGTTGTTAGATAGACCTACTGGAGCAGTTCATAGGCTCGAGAGCTTTTCCTTGAGTTTCACGGTCGGCAGCGTATGTTGGGACTTGTCTTCCCGCCTCACAACATTGATCGTCGAGTCACGGTCACTCAACAGTTCGTATTTTGCTCAATTTTTGGAGTTGGAGAGCTGCCGCTAATGGTAGCATGTAGTCTTCGTGTGTTCTTAAAATTTGCTATGGTAGCTTGTTCGGTCTCTCTCTTGTTTTGTGTTCGTCGGTCTGTTATCGCGCTCGATCGCTTTTGCTCGTAGGGTGGGTACCCAAAACACGAGATCGGCGATTACTCCTTCAATTCTTGTCGGATGACCTTGGTTCAAGCATCAATATGGACCGGCTAGCTGTGCTCTCGACGCTGATGTGCTTGGTTTGCTCTGAATCGGTCGACAAGTCGATCGGCCGATGCTCCGAGAGCTTGGAAAATGTGAGCGCGAAAAGCTTGACTGTTAGCTCTGTTGCTTTGCCTTTATAGTGAGGCTGCAGCGCACCTCTGGTCAATACCTGACCAATTCCTCTCAGTTCTTTCTCACTATTACAATACCTATTTCCATGGACAAACTCAATACAAACTTTCTTTCTGCTCAGTGTTGGGTAAGGCAACACTGTAGCTACTGGCTAATATCAAGTTAATTTGTTGATTTGGGCGAGCTGAGCAGAAAGAATGATCTTTCTGCCAGGTTGCTCTGAAATCTGGATTCTGAGAATGCCAGTTTCTTAAAATTCCTACGTCGGTGCGTCTTTTTCTTATCCGGGTCCGCTAAATATCTAGACCGCCAACAGCCTCCCTCATGCAAGCACTTTCGGACGATGCATCCGAAGGAGGAGAGAAAGATAACAGCTCAGCACGAACAACCGGAATCACCGCCAATAAACAGAAATGGCCGCGATAACTTTATTTCTGTGCGATTATTTTTCCAACGTCAAGAATTCGCGAACAGTCTATTGGCGGATATACACACTCAAGACCATAGGAATGCGGAGAGATCTGGTGTTCTATCACAATATTGTCTGGATTGGGTCTGTACGAGGACAAAGGAATAAGACTGGTGCAGGGGATCTTGCTAGTCTACGCAAATAAGAGTCTCCGGCGCAGTCTCATTGAGTCTAGATGGTATGACTAGCTCGACATTGAGTGCACCCATCAGGAGACCCTCATAGTATTTCGAGCACCATTCCGGACAGAGACAGTAACAACAGTACATTACTGAGAATAATCATCGTTAGACTGCACGAGAAGCATACGTCATTTTTCCGTATGTGTGTACTTGGTATCTTGATCCAACAATGCCCACCAAGTTGTTTCAGCGAAATGTAGTTGATGAGCTACGGATGGTGTGTCAGTGAGCGTGTATGCGAGTAGTTATGGACGTATGCGTTGTGAGACGACATAGGCATGCGTAGAATATCTCAACTTAAGCTACATCAATGTGAGCCGTATAAGAACGCATCAAAGAATGCAATCGTTCATATATGGCGAGCACAAAATGGGAGGAATGCTATGTGTTCAAATCAGCGAGTGTGGTGCCTGTGAAAGTGCAGAGCTCGAATCGGTAACTCTCAGGCAGAGCTAAGACTTAGATGTCCTGCGGCGCTAATCGTAAAGTACACAAGAGCGTTACGCGGAATCTGACTCCTTCTTACCCTTCTCAATTCTAGTTCTCTTCGTGCGCTTAGATCGACATCCACACAATTCGCAATCATCTATTGAGTGTCTCACTACTAAAGAAGGTACTACGAGAGTGCAACGAAGGTCAGTAATTGCACGATTTATTATCTTTGATATTGAGACAGCATTCCTAGTGTGGAGACATGGACGATAGTCAACGATACACTGTGAACTCTGCCTAAACAACGTAGAACTATCACCAAGGGTATAACGATAACTGGTCACTATAGTCCCACTGAGCAGTATTGACCATAATGCTATCAGGCTATGCCGAGCAGTCAGCCACTCGATCTCAGTACTACTTGAAGTCTGCGAGTGTCCTGGAAGACTTCGGATTCGTTACATGAGGGCTTTGGCCTAGTAGATAAACCATTAGCACGCGTTTCAGTGCGAGCACATCCACGAATATGGCGCGGGAAAGCATCGCGTCCGCACCGTCTGATGTTTACAGAGCTGTTGTACGATTGCATACACTCGCTCCATTGGAGAAGAAGACGATAGGTCTCAGAGAAGATCAGAGGGTGGGGATTGGATGTATGCCTCTACATAACGAGGATTAAAGGTTCGATACAGATTGAACATTTTCGATGACCTTGAAAGCTCATAAGGATCGGCTAGAGTTACGAATGCTCTATGCGTGCAGTCTGCACTAACGCATGAGCTTTATGCTATTATCGTGCGCTTTCTCTGTATTGCAACTCCGACGTACAGAGGCTTGCTTGCGCTATGCGGGTTTTTGTGTATCTACCCGTCCTATGCTATTTGCGTTTTCGAAGATATTTCGTACAAACCACATTCGGAGAGGAGGTACAGAGGCTACCCAAGAGTACCCAGAGACCTCGGGGAAGCCATCGCGTGCGAGCACGTGACAGTTCGAATATTTAGAGCACGAAGCAAGAGTGAACGAGACAAGAGAGCGAATAGCGAATGACGCATCGCTGGAGTCATATATACACCACATTCACCGATGAGCATGCTCAGTAGCCCTGCGAACAGGGGATGATAGGCTCTACTGGCACCGTCAGGATGTTATCCATTCATCATTAGCATTCGACAAATTCGTCAGCACGCAAGAAATCTCAGACGACCGAACGCGGCTACGAGATGAGCTCCCTAATCACGTCGCTTGATCGCCGCGACCTATTAGCCTATGCATCGCAATCCTCTAACCGAAATGCTACGCTTGAGTAAAGTTCGTGTTGTGACTCAAGGAACCGTGGAGTTTTGATGAGACCAGAGAAGAACGAAGGACCGTGGAAATTGAAGTATTCTCGGATTCGGATGTTGCGCAACTCCTCATGAGAGAAGGACCAAGAACGAACCAGAAGATCAGTCACGTGTCCATGATGCGATGATCTTTCTCGAAGGTGTACTCATTCACTGGAGGTCCAAGCTACAGAAGGTCGTAGCATTGTCGAGTTCCGAAGCTGAGTTCTACGCGTGTGGCGAAGCAGTGCGAGAAGTCCCGTTCATCGCGCAGATTCTGAAGTTCCTACAGATCAACGTGGAACTACCTGTGCAAGTGAAGATCGATAACGTAGGTGCTATCTTTATGTCAGAGAACAAGACAAGTGCAAGTCGAACAAGGCATATGGATACGAGGTGGCACTACGTGAACCAAATGCAGCAGGACGGCCTAGTGAAGATTGATTTCGTTCGCTCGGAAGACAACGTGAGCGACATTGGAACCAAGAATGTCAACGTCGAGACCCTCGACAGACATGCACCGAAACTGACAGGAGACAAGGAGCAATTGGTTTGAGTTGGTAAGAAGGTCGCTGCCATCATCGCGAAAACAGGAAGGGTGTTAGAAAGGTATTTTCGTATGACGGACAGACGACTCGGGATCCACAATCACGGTTCGTGATTGGGGATGTGTGACTCAAATCAGATGGTTATCCGATCATCATCAGATGGCCAGGTGTACAAGGAACGAGGACAATGGTCGTCTAGATGATGCAACTACAAAGGTTAGGAAGTTAGGTCGAAGAGATGAATGCAAGGAGCGACGGGATGGAACAAATGAATGGACGGATGAAGGTCCATAGGTTTAGTAAAGTGGGAAAGCCTTCCAGGGCCAACCATGCACTTCAGGAAGATAGATCGACGAGATCTATCTGCAGATGAAACTGCGAGAAACAGAGGATCGAAAGATCCTGGTATATGTATGCATATCGGAGCTCAGTTGTAGAGCTCACAATCTGAACGAGAGAGAAAGAGAAAACGAAACAAATAGCCAGTCTACTAGACAGTAGAGCTGGAAGGATATTGATTAAATTAGAGAAATTGTGCGTTCAAGTTCACACCTTTTCAACAGGGCAGAGTTTGCTGCCCTATAATAAGGGTAGAGTTAGAAACTCTGCCCTAAACTCTACTAACTCTACCTGTAGGGCAGAGTTTCACACTCTATCTTTTTTTAAAATCCGAAACGGCCTACATAGAAACTATACTACTTTCAAACTCTATCCAAGATTTTTATTAAGGCAGAGTTTCAAAACTCTGCCTTTCTCCAAGTAGAGTAGACTATAGGGTAGAGTTTCTGAAACTCTACCTTAAATCTGATTCGATAATCCTACCCTATATCGTGGATTGTGACCAGGGTGTGCGGACCATTGGTGGTCAACCTACGGTTACGGATAAATGGTTACAGGTTATAGGTTACGTAACTGGTTAAAACCAGTAACCAGATAGATTTTCGCTATCTGGTTGATAACCTATAACCTAACCAGATAGCCAAATCTATCTGGTTGACGTAACCTATAACCTAACCAGATAGGATTTGGCCTCTTCACTGGTTACAGAGCTGGTTGTCTATGTGGTTACTCATAGCCAATAACCTAATCTATAACCATATAAATAACCACTCCTATCTGGTTACAGTAACCCATAACCAAACCAGATAGAATTTCTGTTATCTGGCTGATAACCTATAACCAAACCGGATAGAATTTTCTATCTGGTTGCTGTAACCTATAACCTAACCAGTTCAAAAGCTATCTGGTTCCCACACCCTGATTGTGACCGTTGCGGCACGATCCTGGCAGCCTTTCTATGGAAGACCGTTTTTTAGACGGGTAGATGCGGTAAAATATAGAGCTAAAGATATATTTTACTGAATACGGTACTATTTGAATGGAAAACAATTTTTACCTCATCTACTACTAGGTAGATCTAATATCCCAAATGTGTCTTCCACTGGCTAACGGTTACACGTACGGTACCGTACCGGTATGATGTAGCCCTTACCTGCAAATACCGGCATAGGTAGATATGGTAATATTGTATACTAGATAAATAATGATATATTTAATTTTAGTCAATGATAACGTTAACTCTATGGTTACACTACCTCTGCTCGAGCGCTCGCGTTCGTTCTAAAGTCTTAGAGGGTTACAAGACTATCATATAGTAGGTGAAAGTTGAAAAGACACTCGAACCCAACAAGACTTAAAGACCAAGATACTTTGAATATACTGGACCGCTCCTTTGCTAGGAAATAAAATTTAATTACATGTACAGTATTTAGATACAGTACGCAAAGCCGGGTTAGCAAGAAGAGTAGGGTTTTACATGTCTCGTGGCATTAAGACTCACGTACAACGCACCGTACAGCTTACGAGCCCGAAGATTGCACTTGGCGGTCGCGGTTGGCCTCGCAGCTCCAGAATCCGTGTTCGCCGCTCCGAACCTACTGGGACATCGTCACGGTATTACTAGCTAGTAGTACTAATTAGTAGCTAGAAGTAGCCCTGTAGTACATGTATCTTTACATCTTTACTCTGCTCTCTGCTCTGCCTACATCACGTACCATATGCATCCGTGACAGTACCATCTTGTCCAATTTTCTGCTACTAGCTAGCTAGTAAAAGAGCTTTGGCAAAGACTGCATGATCTTTGATCTTTCCCAGGCAACTCCCACAAGACCTGCTCCATCGATCTATTGACTTGTTGTTGGTATGCATACTATATTAGGAAGCTCACATTACCTGACTGAAAGCGGATGTTGTAAAGAATGATGGACTATCTTTTTCCAACGCGGGTTGTGGACCTCCACAACACCATGATGCACTGGCAGTTTCCAGGCGACACTTGTGAGAGTCACTGCACTGATGATGATTGCTGGGCTGTCCAGCCTTTCTCAGCTTTCGTCACTATCTTTACAGCCATTGGATTCTTTGCCTACCTTTTGCGATCCATGTACTACGGAGCGTCCTTGGGACAGTGTCTCGGAATATTCGGCTTTGGCGCTTTTGAATTCGTTCATGGACTGTCCCATCGATACGCGCACTTTGAGTATTTCGAATACTACCAGCACACTGTATTCTACTTTGTGATTGTGGGTGTGTTTGCGGCTCTTTACGAGGCAACAGGCCACATGCCAAAAGCAAAATACTGGAGTACTGCCTTTTGCGCTACAATTGTGTACGACTTGTGGCTTGTTGTGAATTACAAGGTGACCCTCTACAACATCATCTTGGTAACGGTGATGTTTCGTTTGCTCATTGCAGGATTCCTCCCTCATTTGGACAAGCTTTCTCAGCAGCGGTATGATCATCTCACGGCACCTCATCTGACACTGTTGGCAGTATTTATCAATGAAGGAATCAACTGCGATCGAATGATTGAGTGGACCAGCCCAGAGTTTCCCTTTCACTTTCTGTTTGAATCTTGCTCTGCTGTGTATTTCTACTACTTTGTACAGTTTCTCATGGAGTGCAGAGGCAAACAGAACAGCAAAGGAAAAGTTGGATTGAAAAGGTTTCTTTGAGACAGGAAAGCAAGCAACTGCCGAAAGCTAGAAGAACGCTGACAAAACACATCAAACACATCTATTGAGAAAGGACTCTCCGTCGCATTCACAACCCCAAAAAGTCAGGAGCCATTATTGAATAGTGTTAAGATTCTAAGATACCGTGGCCTCCGCGTATCGCTGCAAGTAGTCTTGAAATCGTAGAAGCTGTCTCCCCCAATACTGCATATGCAGATTGGTATTGTCTGGAAACCTTTGTAGAAACTGTACATCGTCTTGTCCCCGTAACACCCATCCCTCGGGTGTCTTTTTGGCCACTTGTTCCAGTAGCATGAGCACGGTCTGTGAATTCAAACTCTCATGATGAAAACCATGATTGCCGTTGCCGTTGTCGTCGTCGTCCTTGTTGTTGTCTGTGATTATTCCAAAAACATGATCCAATCGACTCCTATGAATGACACCCATGGTTTGCAACAACAGCAATGCAAACGTCCTTGCTTTGGCTACCGGTTTGGGCAACTGCGTCATGAGTCTGGACTGCAAACAAAAGTTTCCCCGGACCAGTACAGCACACGATGCCAGTGCTTTTAGAATGTGTTTGTCGTCTACGTTGGGCGGAAGTGATTGTTTGAGAATGGAGAAGGGAATGGGCCATCCATCCTTGAGTAGTGTGGTCAAGTGTCCTCCCATGGTGGGCAAATCGAAATGAGTTTCATCGAGACCAGCTTGCTTCCAATCCACCAAGAATTGTTGTGCTTGATCAAATCCTGGAGTTGTATTATTGGTATTGCTTGCGGAAGCTTTGGCGGGTAGATAGTCCAAACTGCGCACGTAGGATGCCAGTGAAGTGGACTTGTTGTTGTCAGTTGTTGCTGTCTCGTCCGCGTCGTCCTGCTTGACCTTGTCCATGACACTGCGTTTGCGAAATTGCGGCGGACAGTCCATGGCCTGTTTCAGTGCGGTAATCTCTTCTTCGGAGGGTCGTTCTTCTTCGTCCATGAGATCCACTTCGTCCGCATTTTGGAGGTCAATCACGTTCAATTCGACCCAATTTTCACCTTCTTCACTGGCTTTTTTGTAGGCAAAACTGTTTTTGCGTGCCATGGCGGCCCGTTCGGATTCCTTTTTTTGGAACATGAGTGGTTTGCGCTTGTCGTCTTCCTCTGACTTGTTTGATTTGTTGGCAGCATTGGCCCGTTCCTCTTCGAGAGCTTTGATATTGTCAGCATTGTCATCGTCGTCTTGGTCAATATGAGTAAATGTGGGTCTCATTTGTGTAATATGCTGGAGCGTGGACAAATGGAGTGCGAATTTGCTCTCTTTGGACGTGTCATCTCGAACGACCTTTCCCAATGCGAGATGCGTGGTGACGGGTACCGTATGACTGGCGTATGTTCTTTGTAAGAGGTGTTTGAGTCCTTCTTGTTCCATGTATCGAGTGGGAATGGCTTGATCGAGTTCTAGCATGTTGTGCTTGGGCTTGACGCGTACGGCTATGGGAGCAGCACTAGTCCGATGCTGTGTCGCCACGGTAGGGACTTGTTGGAGAGGAAACTGCAGCATATAGAGCTGATGGACCAGATGAGGAGACAAGTATACCTCCATTTCTCGAACGACTTCGTCTTCTTCCTCTTCTTCTTCTTCCTCATCAGCTTGGTCGTCATCCACTTGCATCGCAGAATTGTCAGCATTCTCTTCATTCTCGTCCTCCACCATGGCATCATCCTCATCCTCATCCTCTTCGGCCTTGATGCGGACTCGCTTCTTTGGACTGCTAGCACTACTAGTACTGGCCATGGTTACTCTCTATTACAGCATCAACTGTTCCACAAGGTGTTGTGTGGGCACTTCTTGGTTGTGTTTTGTGTTTGTGGTCTCGTCGAGATTGAGATTGTCCTTCATCCACACTCTCGTCTGGCCGTCGTCCAAAAGGATCTTTGTATCGCAGCTGTGCTGGCTAATGTTAGAATCTTTCGCAAACGTCCCCGACATCCCGACACAATCACAAGGCAACCAAGCAAAAGTCACAGTTGGTCATTCCAAGGAAGTCAGAGAGAAGACAAGAGAACAAGAGATAATAAAAGACCAACAGCACCACTTCAATTGCTTCCATTCATAGCATCATGTTGTGGTTATCTCATCGAAGAATCACTGTCTTTCTGGCGGTTGTCATTGGCAGTCTCATTCTGCTCCCGATTTCTATTTCGGCCCAGCAAGAAACCACGGAGAATGACGATACTAGTGGTACACCCCATCCTCATGCCGACAGTTGTTCTTGGACAGGTGGAGCTTGTGAATGGGATTACAACATGCAAATGATGACAGCAACCTTTCTCAATGACAAGAAGGAGACATTCTATGCCTATGTGGAACCCGACGTTTCTACCTTTTACAATCAATCCGAAGGACAACTCCAACCCGTACAACCTGACTTTACCGGCATGTTTGTCAAATTCGTCAACATGGGACCCAAAATGGTACGGGTACTTTGGATTCCAAATGGAAACACCGCCAAAGATCCCTTGGAAATATGTGACATTGAACCCTTTGGATCCTGTGGAACCGCATCCTATCCCAGCCAACACTTTCAACTCGCGTGGCCGGATAACTTGGATCTCGTTCTGGAGCGATTCACCACCAAACCAGGAAAGAATGTCTACGTATACGATGCATTTCGAGGATCCTACGAAAAGGCATATCGAAAGTTAAAACCAGAAGACTTTCAACACTACATGATGCAATACAACAATAATCTATTCAACAAACACTACAAAGAAAAAACAGGAAGAGAATGGCTCGCACTCTATGGACAAAAATTCCCACCACGATTTCACATGTGGCAAGCCGATTCCTTGGGACAGACTCATGTGGTGACCACCAAGGAAATTCACTTTGTCGAATATCCACCCGAGGAGGAACTCGCCAAGGGAGTATCGCTCTATGGACCACGACCGGAAGAAATCACACGGAATCGCAAACATCGAGATACCCATGCCACTATGGAGTTGCACTTGACGGTGCTCTCGTGTGCGCCACGAGTCTTTGAAATCAAACATTTCTTGTCCGATTTGGAAGTCGACCACTTGTTAAAGGTCGCGGAACAAAAGAATCTCGAAACATCCACTACTCGGGCAGGGGACTATGCCAAGGTGACACAAGAGGAATCCACTCGCACATCCACCAATACGTGGATTGGACGGCACCAAGATATCATACTCGATGCCATTTATCGACGAGCCGCAGATGTCATGAAGATTGACGAACGACTCTTTCGACGACGACGCAAAACAGAAATTCCAGAATTCACAGAAAGTATGGTCGACATCTCGGAAAGCTTGCAATTGGTACATTATGATGTCGGGCAGCAGTATGTAAGTTCAGGTAGTTTGACGTTGTCGATTGGAGGAAGTAAGTGTCTCACAGTCTCACAAAATAATAAATTCACCACTTTGTCCATGCACTCATTCGAATCGAATCGCGCAGACACCGCATCATGTAAGTGTACAGGAGAGGACGCGTCGCTATCTCTCATGCACGGATGCATGCAGACATAGTAGTTGGATCTAACAGCACTTTCAATATGTGTTTTAGGACTTTGCAATGCCACGCCTAGTCAAGGGACAACCCTCTCGTTTTGCTACGCTCCTCCTCTACTTGAATGATGAAGGATTGCGGGGCGGTGAGACGACTTTCCCCATGTGGCGAAATGCCGAAACATCCAAACGGTTAGATGTCAAGCCAGAAAAGGGCAAAGCGCTTCTTTTCTACAATCTACTTCCAGATGGAAACTACGATGAGCTGTCCATGCACGCAGCTCGTCCCGTGCTACAGGGAGAAAAGTGGTTGGCGAATCTTTGGGTGTGGGTAAGTTACCATGGTTCTTCTTGGATGCTGACATATCTCTAGCTAGCTAGGGAAAGGATCTGACTTGAAAAGTTCTGCTCTTTCCCTCAACTGCAGGACCCAGTTCTCGCTCATGGTTAGCGGGTATGGGAGAGGTGGCATCTCTGTGCCTGTCTCCACTGGCATGGTAGAGGCATCTCGCAGAGGCAATTTAGGCAAACTGAAACTTAGTGTCGTCAATTCTCCACTTGGGTGCACGTTGAAAAAGCTTGCAGAAGAAACCAAAATGACATAATATACTTGTTCGGTTATGGACGTCGTAGATCAAGCTGGCATTCTGAAACACCATGGTACAATGAACTCTACAACAGTGCAACTACCATACCGCAGAAGGAGGCGGATATGATTTGCGGAGGCTTACGATGCTTTTTTAAATTGTCAAAACTATGATAAAGAAATGGTACCGGTAGAGTCGAGTAGCCCTCTTACAAGATGAAGCGCGATAAGTCTGTCGACTTGGTGACGCCTTTCAGCCTTGCTCCCACCTTCTCTTTGTCCACAACCATTCTAGTACCCTTCATACCCTCTTCTGCTGCCTCGAAACTGATTTCCTGCAATGGAAAGACAGAATTTGGTCAGACAGACAGTAGGAAGCTGAAACTACACGAAGCGCCATCACAAACAAACGTCGCAAATAAGAGCACGTACCTCCATGATGCGTTCCATCACGGTGTGCAATCGGCGAGCACCTATGTTTTCCACGGATTTGTTCAATTCGGCGGCGTTCTTGGCAATTTCACGAATTGCTTCATCCTCGAATTCGAGCTCGACGCCTTCGGTTTTGAGCAATTCAACCTGCTGGCGAATCATCTGAAATAGTAGGAACGGCACGGGACAAGAAAGAAGTGAGAGACCACGAATGCCAGGCAAGTTGCAACACCAAAAAGATATGCTTACATTGGCCACGGGTTCTGTTAGGATTTTGTAGAGGTCCTCTTCGGTCAGGCCCTTTAGCTCGACCCGAACAGGTAAACGCCCTTGCAGCTCTGGCAGCAAGTCGCTTGGCTTTACCGAGTGAAAGGCACCACTGGCGACAAAAAGGATGTAGTCAGTTTTTATGTTTCCATGTTTTGTTGACACAGTTGTACCCTCTACTAGGGGCAACAGATCCCTTTGCACTCCTTCCGCACTAGCATCCGTGTTTCTTCCAGACGAAGCACTAGATGTACAGATCTTGTCGATTTCGTCGATAAAGACAATCCCGGTCTCCTCGACAGCCGTGATTGCTTCTTTTTTGAGGTCCACCATTTGAAGCAGTTTCTCGCATTCCGACTCTAGTAAGACCTTTCTCGCCTCTGGCACTGGGAGTTTCTTTCGTTGCGTGATAGTTCTCTGTGAATCTGCATCTAATGTGAACTTGACTTGACGGCCTTCATCACCAATAGAAAACTCGCGACCGCTATCCGGCCCCTTGATTGGCACTTCTACCTCGACCATCATTTCATCTAGCAGCCCTTCTTCGAGCATACTCTGGAACGACCCCTTATTCCGTGGAACTTGTTGCAGTTGCTCTTTATCCTTGTGAGTATTGTCGTTTTCATCGGACGGTGTGGAAACCGAAGAAGTAGTCGGACCAATCAGCTTTTCCAGAAGCAGTTCTTCTACTATTTCTTTGGCCCGATCCATGACCTTTTCCGTCTCCCGCTTTTTGGTTAACTGCATTGAAATATCCATAAGATCAGCAATAATCTTGTCAACATCTCGACCATGGTATCCCACTTCGGTAAACTTTGTGGCTTCCACTTTGATAAACGGGGCATCATTCAACATGGCCATTCGTCTGGCTACCTCCGTCTTCCCACACCCTACCGCATAAATAAAAAGCGAAAATGGCAACAATAGAAGGCCCAGAAAAGATTACCAAGTGAGTCTCCATCCAACGATTCTTGTCAAACAACAATTGAGCTGGCTATCAAGCATACAGTAACGCACCTGTGGGCCCAACCAATAGGACATTCCGTGGCATTATCTCCTTTCTCAAGTCCTCGGGTAGCTGACGCCGTCTCCAACGGTTTCTCAAAGCGATCGCGACCGCGCGCTTTGCATCTGCTTGCCCCACAACATACTTGTTTAGCTCGTCTACAATCTGGGTTGGTCGAAGATTCTCCTGCAACTCATTCTTGGGTGCACTTTCAATCTGCTCATTGGCAGAAGCAGCAATGGAAGAGAACGGTCTTCCAGCCACGAACTTCAGTGGGGGCGAGGAGAGCAACGAGAAAGGTCTCCGAAGCCTGCGCTGGTGGACACACGCTGACCTGAGCATCTTCATGGTGGAGGTCATCTTCACTGCACTGACAGCTTTAGTGGACTTCTCATCAAACAAAAGTGACGGCGAAACATCAGCTCAAGGGAAGAGAAGGGAGTGATGCAGTGGTGATGCTCAACCAAGGTCGAGAAGATCGCAAAGATACGCAGAGCTAACAAGCCAGCGTAGGTTGGTTGAAGCTCTGGACACAAGACCAACAACTGTATCTGCATGTACTGTACCATGGTAAGCTGTGCCTACACTGTACCGTACCCGGTTAGTACTGGTACGGTATTCACGGTACGGTAACCATCACACTTGGGCGCCGGCGTTACATGTTACCAATTGTGACGCCGGAAAGTCGCCCGGTGCGACGCGGCAAAATCGCGCCATTTGTAAAGGATCAGCATTCAATTTTGGTGGCGTTGTTGGGCACGGGCCTCGTCAGGCAGCAATTGCGGCTTCCCGACAACTTTGATTTCTTCATTATCTCCCTATCATTGTACTACCGATACCGTCACAACTAGCAGCAACTTTATGGACCATGAGCAACATGAATACCTCAACCGAAACCAATAGAGTTGCTGACAAGAGGATTATCCGAAAGATCAGTCCTCCTTCTGTTCGAGGCAAGAAGCGTCAAGTTCGTGGTGGCAACCAATATCGTTCCTTCAACAGCCGGAATCATGATAACAACAATGCAGGCCTGAAGCGACAAAAGACCCACCATGAACCCATGGAATTAGACCCAATCTTTCCCAAGTTGGATCAGTGGGATCCTGTGCATGGTCGGCGAATCCAGCAGCGTCGGAAGGCTGTCACCATTGGCAAGAACACACCTGGTTACATTGCGTATTGCAAGCAGGTTCCCAAAGAACAGCGAAAGCCTCGATCCATGGAAACTCCTCCGACTCCGGATCATACTCTGGATATACCCACCAAGCGCTGGCAGGGAATGGTGAAGGCTTGGTGAGTTGACTTTGTCTATACAAATCTGAAGCAAAAGGCGATGCATGGCAAAGACACAAAATTTTTATTATCTGGCATGCTCTGACCTTGTTCGGTTGTTGCTTCTTTGCGACTAATGTACATGTATTCCCTTATTATTAACAGGCGCCGAGCACTTCATAACTATGATCCCAAAGACCTCTTCTCCTTGCATAATAGCAGCAATGACGATACTCCTACGGCGGAGCCAAGTAAGAACGAGCAAGAGAATAGCAATGCCCAAACCCAGCAGATTGAAGATGCCATTGCCAAGGGTCTGTTGCTGGATGTGACCACTCCTCGCAAGAGCTACAGTGACGTTGTGTTGGAATCGCCAGTGTCGGTGCTGAGCGAGGGCAGTCCTCGTCGCCTGGATGATAGCATCATGGAGGACATGGCCGGAGAGGAGAGTGATGATGATGAATTGCTCTAGCTACCGGTACAGCAGCTGGCTAGATAAATTTGCAGTTGGGAGGAGGATTCGATCGCCAGCCAGCCAAAGAGAGGCAAGTATGGCAACGTTTTTGGGTGTGGCTATTTGTAAACGGATTCAAAGGTTAGGGAGAAGAGAGCAAGAGTTGGCAACTATGCCAAATCTGAAGCGTGCATTTGCTAGACAGGAATGATGCTAGCTATAAGCACACACGCAAATTGATATTACCAAGTAACAGTAGAATATGCAACCAATAATAACACAATGTTGTAATTTCAAATCTCAATTATTCCATTATAACAAACTAAATATGCCTCCTCTCTCATGTCCCATTCTGTAGTACATCGTTCTTTTTGGATTGCTCGCAAGCCAAAAGGAATCTAGCTGGGTATCGTAGCCAACAGGGTACACAGCATCATCTAATAGCTAGAGGAGGCGGGGTCTAGATTTGGGAAGTGAAGCCGGCATAAGGCCAGGCTTAGGAAAAGAAAGGAAAAACTCAGGACGATTTTCCGTGGGATCAGGGGCGACTAGTTGTGAATTTTTGATCAAAGCAAACGCTCTCAGGGCCAGCAGAGCAAAAGACATCACGCTGAACAAGGAACGTTTTCTACAGCAGGCGCAGTCGGCTGTCTCCGTAACTGCGCTGCGCAGCATGATGTGATTGAATCGAATCATTCGAGGAGAGCTAAACAGTTGAACTCTATGATTGCTTATACAAGAGTCCACTTTTACCAGTACAACCTTCTACGCCTCTCAAGGACAAGAGGGAACAGCGTAGATCGCCAGGTCGGTTACACATGCACGAAGGATGGCCAACTCTTTCTTTTACACTTTGCTGGCATGATCAATCATACTCAAAATGGCCGCTTTGGAGACTTGCGCCGGGTCCTGCACATTTTGCTTCAACAGATCAATCAACACGCGATGTGCCAGCTGTTCATCCGTTACCTTGGTGGTACTTCCTGTTTCATTGACAAAGACAGCCTTTTGCGATTCTCTGACACAGGCATCGACCCTCTTTTGATACTCGTTGGGTTCTGTTTCCATCAGAGTTTTGGCTTCTGGATTGGCCGATGCATCTTTGACGGTTTTGGCATAGAAAATCTTTTTGAGAAAGGTGAGCACCGTGACCAAATAGTGTCGTGTAGGATCCCAGGAGGGATAGGTCGATTTGATATCTAGCTGTCCCGTCTTGGGGTCGACGTAAGGATTAAATACATGAGACGAAAATGTAATTTCGGGCCACATGTTGGCATCGTTGTATCGCGGAGGCAACCGCAGTTGGAACTTGAAAATGCCGTTGGTAAAGTGGCCTCGGCGGACAAAGATGATTCCAAAAAAGTGCCTCAAATCGTTCATGGAGGGGATCAAATAGACTCCTCCGGGTGCATGGCTTTTGAGGTGTTTGTACTCAATAGTAACTTTGTAGTCACGTAGAGCTTGCTCTCGTTCTTCCTGTAATCGCAAGGACATGGGGTAAGGTACTACTTTCTGGTGCTGTTGACGACGTCGAATACTAGTGTTACGACGTCGATTATTGTTCTCAGAAGCTTTCTCAGGATAATCACGATACAGAATCGGATCCATGGTGATTGACCAGAGTGCGTTGAACATGATGGAATGAATCGACTCTGGTCAACCAACATTTCTATCCAACGTTACATACAACGAAGAAAGAGACAAGGTCGACACAACCAACAACAACGAAGACACTCCGACAGCCGTGGGTAACAACGTTTCCACTCACCTCAGAAGCAATAGGCGAACGCGCCTTTAAGGATCCTCGCGCTCCAGGAGACTTTGCCGGTGTCTTGCTCATGGTAAAGGATGGCTTTCAATACAATAGATAGCAAGACAGGTTCTACGACGATAAATTCCTCTTGCTCATTGTGCCGACGGCGTTGCGGTTTTGCGGTGTCTCGATCGTCCTTTCTCTTTTTCAAGTCACGTTCGGGATTAAAATTTGCAAAAAGACGCACAACGACTCCGACTTTGAGAGAGCCGTTGGAACCGAGGATGATGCTGCTGTCGGTGCTCTCGTCATTGTGGTTTAACATGTTAGCTTATAGATGGGGTAATTTGCTTCTAATGAATGCTAATGTTGACCTCATCTACCTGACAATTCCTTTGCACGAAAAGAGCACGAGGCTTCCTTTTTATGGGAGGCACTCCGCAAAGCCAATTTTTGACCAAGGCGAAGGCTGGTATCGTTGCCTCGGATCATCAGCAGCGGGTACGAAGCTATTGGAATAAGATAGCTTTGTCAGCTATTTGGTGTGTAGTGTGTAAGTGGGTTAATGGGGAGAGGGAGGGGAGATACCGAGTTAATATCTGTGTCGGTTAGCTATAGTAGATACCCTCACTCAGTCCACTATTTGGTACCCGTCCCTTTCTCACGTTCATGTTCTTTCCTGCCGCTTGACTGCGTAGTTTTTGGGCTCTGGCCAGCTAGTAGTGTTCTCGCTGTATAGATAAGTGTATTAGAGTGTTGGAGCAGAGCCAACATGAGTGAACATAATGAACGGAATGCTGAGATTTGGTCTACTCGGGTGCAGCGAGAGCTATTGGCCCTGACCACGGAGAATGCACCCGAACAAGACAAGAAGGACACGCAAGGTGTCTTGCCTCCATTCATGACTGTGAAGGATCATCAGCTGGACATTGCTGCTGGAACGTGTGTCGTGTCATTTTTGGTGGAAATTGTTGGTAAGCGAAAGAAGAGGCCACCTATTTCTCCAAGAGTTACGGATGAGGAGACGCCAGCTGCCCAAGAAACTACACCAACCGAAGGAGATAACGGAGAGGCGGATGATTCCAAGGCGGTTGTGACAATCAAGTTGGACGCCTCCTTGGTGAAAAAGGCAGATGGAACTCTAGATACTGCAGCTCCTGCATACCCATTTTTGCCTCCTCGGGCTCTCATGGCAGAAGGCGCGTCGTGCTTTCCAGAAGGTTCCACCATTCAAGATGGCGATCCTGTTGCCATTGATTGTGACTGGACGCCTAGTCTACACTTGTCGGATGCTGTCCTCAACATTGGACTCAAAATCAAAGAAAGTATACTGCAACAAGAACCATTCCATCCCCTCGCCGAGGTGGAAATGGACCCTATCTTGGAGGATGTCATGTCCAGTGCTCGTGCCATTGGAGAAAAGGTCGGAAGGAGCTTTCGGGGCTTTAGTTTCAAAGCGCCGGACGCAACGCAAAAGCAAAAGAAGAAAAAACCCGCAAAAAAGAAGGAAACACCTGCTGCAGCTCCTGGGGAGGTCCGCATTGGAGATGAAATCAATCTACTCGAGCCACCGTGGGTCGAATCTCAGGGAATTTATTCCTGTAAAGCAGTGCGACGCCCCGAATTTGTTGAAGCCGCCATCCAGCATGCTGCTCTCGAGAGCGGGGAACAGGTAAGGCACCAGGGGTCGTTTCGGGGGTTGGTCGACGTTGTGCGGGGCTAATGTTGAAGTTCGTTTTCAATTCGTCTCGAACAGGCTTCGTCGGGGGCTGCTTCAATGTTCCGTAACTTAACACAATCTGCAAAGAACGTTCTTCAGGAATCGTTCATTATGATCACGGAAACCCACATCATCGAGATGACTTCGAGCAAGCTGAACTTGAGCACGGGAAAAATCACATTTGCCATTCCCATCGAGCTCATGGCAAAGCTCAAATTCCGAAGACAAGAGTCCATTTCCTTGTTCTTCAAAACTGCTCCCAATGATCCCCTCATATACATGTGTCCTGATAGTGCCGATGCTGTACATCAAATCCAGTCTGTTTTGAAACGACATGGTGTCAAAGGCAAGCACACCAATGCGGCAGCGCATAGAGCCATCGGTGAGGCTTTGCAGTTGGTTCAGGAAATCCAAACGAAGGAATTGGCGTTGCGGCACGATCCCACTGTGGAGCGCGTTAATGAGATTATGGATCTGTATCGCCAGGCAGCAGAGCGCTTTGAGGCAGCCGGGGATGTAAGACATGAGGAGGTGGTTACCCACATGCGAAAGTTTCTGGCGTTACCAGTGACAACCAGCATTCTCGATGGAAGTTACAAGAAGGAAGAGGCGAATCCCGACAAACCCGCCAGAACTTCTTCTTCTGATATCCCCGAAGGCGAGGTATTGGAGGCTTCAAGCGTCTTGCTGAATGCCAGTGAGGAAGATGAGGCTGGCAAGGAGAGCAAAGAAGACGATAAAGACTTTGAAGCTAGCATGGAGAGCATCATGAAAGAAGCCAAGGAGGACCTGTCAAGCTTTTTGGACGACGATGTGGGTGGAACGACTATGCCTCCAACCCCTCCAAAATCTTCAGGAAGCGATTCTGCAGACGACATTGTCGACGACGCGTTTGCAGATCTCGATGCTATGTTGAGCGAAGCTGATAAGGAGCTTGCAGAGCTTATGGGTTCTTCCTAGATAAATGAACAGTACTATACAATGATCACAGAGGCTACCGGTATGTGGCCAAGGCACAGGAGTCAGGATACAACATTGTTCTGTAGTAAAGCAACTCTCATAGAACAGAAGATTGAATGAAGAAATCCTATCTAGCCAGCCATAATTTTTGGATTGCCGTATTGTATTATAGCATCGAATCACAATTCTGTAGAATCGTGGCATCAAATTGTGTAATGCTAAAGAATCGAATCTAGGTTGTCAAATCAGTAAAATAAGACCACTGGAATGCGTAGAAGCACAGAAGTCATTCAGCTACCGTATACAGAACCACTAATACGTTTGCACTCTATTGATTGCATTTAAAACTGCCTCCGGCCAAAGGTGATCAAAGTAAAACTACCGAACCAAAGGAAGCAGCGGATTTCATCATACTGTCCGAGCGTGTCGCCAGGACAAAATCGGTGGTGGGTTCCTCTCCAATTGAGTCGTCGTCCTCGTTCTCGGCACTGCATCCAGCGCCACAGGCAAGCTTTCTCTTCCTCAACCACCACAGAGAGAGTCCGGCTCCAACGACTCCGAAAGTCGCGGCCGCCGTCTGTTCATAATTCTGGTATCGATTTTGGTATCGATTCTGGTATCTGTTACGGTAGCGGTATTTGTACTTGGAAGATCTCTTGTAGGCGTCAATGCTGAAGCTTTCCCCAACAACTCTTAGAGGGACGTCACATGTCATCGCAGGATAGGAGCGTTGGTCTTGCTTATCCAGAGGAAGGAACTTGAAACGAGCGACGACCCGAGTGGAGTTAGCTACGAATTCGTTGAGCGTATAGAATCGTTGATGGAATCGCTCGGCGTATGGTTGCAAGTAAAAGTCGTCGTTGAAATACCAGTTGGACAAGTTGCCGTGTCGCTGCCCAAATGAGTATTCCCACAAGTCGTTCTCCCACTGTCCATAGCTTTGTGAGTCTCGTTGATACCGGTAGCTTCCTTCTTCGCCATATTCATCCTCGTTTGCAGAGTATCCCTGGTAGTCCTCGTCTTGTTCCTCAGCGTTTTCTTCTTCGACTTCTTCTTCAAGCTCGTCGTAGTAGTCTTGGTTTCTGTATCGATATTGTTGTCGAGAAAGGTTCGTTGGATATCGAGAGGGGTTATACCGATACAAGTCATCTCCCTGACCCGAGTCTTCGGCGCCTTTTTCACCCCACAGCCACCACTGCCACCAGCTTCTTCGTTGGGGGCTATCTTCGTCCTCCCCCTCTTCGTCATCGGCGTTTCCTAGATAGTACTGCCGCGATTTTTGGGGCTGCCACCATTGCCACCACTTCCTATCGGTCATGTTGTACTTGAGCCTTTCTATAGTTTCGTTGTATGGAGTTTGATTGAACATGTATTCCTCAGAATCGTAATTCTCCTCATCAAAATAGTCATCATCATCGTCGAATTCTTCCTCCGCAACTTGATCTTCGTCTTCTTCTTCCGCGTACTGGTACATCTCGGCGTAAATTGCATCCATTTCCTCTTGCTGCATTTGTTGAAACTGTTGGTCTAACCATTCGTAGTACAGGTCTGTTTCTGATGGCTGATTCTGGTACCATTCCGACCAGTCCCGATAGAAGTACTTGTTCGCGAAGGACTGGCTCTTTTTGTAGTACGGGACATAGTCGTCCGCGTAGTATTGCGCTTGATCTTGGTTCTGCTGCGCTTGTTCTTGGTCTTGCTGGTCTTCCTGGTATGATCCGTCCTTCTTCTGCTGGTATTGGTACTGCCGCATTTGACTATTGTAGTTTCTTTTGTATGCCTGGTCTTGGTTGTAGTCCTGTCTGTTGTTGTAGCGACCGTCCCAGGTTCCGCCATACCTGTCCTGCCAGTAGCCAATCGAATACTGGTTGTTCTGAAAGTAATCATCATCATCTTCGGTCCAGCCTTGTTGCTGTTGTTGCCATTGCTGGTATTGCTGCCAATCCTCGCTTTGCTTCCATTGCTGGTTTTGCTGCCCTCCTCCTTCCTGTTCCTCTGGGTTTTGCCACCACCAATGGAAGTCTTTCTGCCACCACCACCGTCCCTGCTCAAAATCATCGTCACCTCCCTGTTCTTCCTGTTCTTCCTGTCCCTGCTGCTGCAGCCATTGGTCCCAATTCTCCTGATCGGTGTACTGGTAGCGCTTGTATGGCCGGTTGTATTGGTCATAGGAGTACGGGTTCTGCTGATAGTCTTGGTAGTACTGGGGATAGTAGTACTGGGGATAGTTGTATTGACGCCCTTGTTGGTATTGGCTTTGCTGTCCTTGTTGGTACTGGCCCTGTCCGTACTGAGCTTGCTGACCCTGTTGCCCTTGTTGACCCTGCTGTTGGCCTTGGCCCTGGTTCCGGTACCCGTTGTACTGGCCCTGGTATCCGCCGTTCTGGCCCTGCTGACCTTGTTGGCTGTAGTACTGGCCCTGTTGGTACTGACCCTGGCCTTGGTTTCCGCCGTACTGGCCCTGGCCTTGGTACCCACTGTACTGGCCCTGGCCCTGGCCTTGGTTTCCGCCGTACTGGTACTGTTGATTTCCTTGCTCGTAGTCTGGATTGTTTTCTTGTTCTTGTGCATAAGCGTTTTGATAAAATTGCTGCTGTCCGTTCTGGTAGTCTTGGTATTGATTTTGACTATCCATGTAACCATACGTGCCTCCGTCATGTCCGTTGTACTGGAAATATCTGCTCAAGTCGAGACCTTGGAAGTCGGTCTTAGCATAGAAACTGTAGGCCCCAGGAAACGGGTAGTCGCCTTCGAGATACTGTGTCATGTCGAGTGTGGCGGCCCCGCCCATTTGGACACACTTCCCTCCGTAGAACTTGCACATGTTCGTGACGACAGTCCAGATTGCATTCTGCGGAAAATACTTTGAGGTGTTGACTGCAAGAAAAGTGTAAGCAAAGACCGACTTGTTTCAGTATCAGATGCACACAAGTTACATCATGTACTTACACGAACCGTAGAACTCCATTGAATCTCCAAAGGTGCAAACTTGGTCTTCACAGCTGGTGAAAAGTTGTATCAGGGATAAGTTGTATCCACCGGAACAACTAGCACCGGCTCCCTCGTAGATGAATCGGATTGGTTTTTTGTTCGTGCTTGCGTAATAGTCGTTGTAATCAACGTTGTAGTTGTCGGACCAGCTGTTACCTGACCTCCAAAAGTTCGCCCAGTAATTGAAAAAGCTGTTGTTGAAAAAGCTGTTCGTGTTGTTGTTGTTGAACGCTTCTTCCATGTATTCCTCGTAATCGATTTCATCGTCATCGACAAGATCGTCATCTTGTCCTCCTGCCAGATTGTACCAATAGTACTTGAATGGATGATCCCAAAAGGACTCACCCCACCACCCCTGCTCCTGATTCTGTAGGTCGTAGTACTCTTCCGTACCATACTCGGGGTATTTGTAGTCATACGGTGACTGCTGTTCCTCGCTGTCATACTGCTGCCAGTTCCCACCCTGTTGGTTTAGCTGGTTGGCGTACTGCTGGTAGTACTGACTCCATGGATACTGATCTCCATCCTGCTGTTGCTGCTGTTTGTTATCGTAGTACTGCCCAGCGTACTGCTGGTAATACTGATACGACTTTTCCTGCTGCGTTTCATCAGCTGCTGCCTGTGCCTGCGCATTATACGCTGCCTGGTCATCATCAATGTCATCCTGCTGTTGGTACTGCTGGTAATACTCATTATACTGACTCCGCCAGTTCTGCAGCTGTTCCTGCTGCTGTTCATAGTACTGCTGCTGCTGTTCGTTGTAATCCTGGTAATCCTGATCCCCTCCGTCCCCCTGCTGCTCTCCGTCCTGTTGTTCCTGCTGTTGCTGTTGCGACTGCTGCTGCTGCTGTTGCTGTGCTTGCCATTGTTGGTACCCGTACTCCGAATTAGCATACTCCTTACTACCGTACCACCGATTACTATTCTGCTCGTTGGAATACTGCTGGTTCTGCAGATACTTCCAATAGTATGGATTTCCATTCTGATTCTCCCACCAATCCTGAGTCTGGACATACTCGTACTCATCCTCATCTTGCCCATTCTGCCCATTCTGTTGGCTATACTGTCCATTTTGCTGGTTCTGACTATTCTGGTTACTGTACTGGTTCTGACCATTCTGCTTGTTGTTTTGATTCTGACCATTCTGCTGGTTCTGACCATTCTGCTTGTAATTCTGGCTGTACTGGTTATATCCATTTTGATTGTTCTGACTGCTCTGCTGGTTGTACTTATTCTGCCCATAACGATTAGAGTTATACATGTACTGTGCACCATCGTCATCCTGTTCATAGTCCTCTGGTGCCATGGTGCTTCCGGCATTGTCTCCGTAGTGAGCGTAGTACATGTAATTGCTATTCTGGTTCCTGTCCTTGTCCCAGTACTGGCTCATGAAACTCTGATAACTCTGATACGGATCGTAGCGGCCATAGGAAGCATATTGGGAACTGGAGCCGTAGGTTCCGTGAGCGCCATAGGATCCCTGGTTGTTGTACTCTCGGACGTAGTTGCCACGAAGATAGTAGTCTTCTCCTGCCACGGACGTCACATCAAGCAACAGACACAAGATTGATCCTATCAGCACATGGTGAATGTGCATGATGAATCCAAAAGCCATTTTGGTATTGTGCTACCGGTATCAGTCTGCCAAGGATAATGGGGTTTGCTTCCAAGCTTTGGAGGAAATCGATGAAAAGGCTGAAAAGGCTGAAAACGCACCCATTTTGTGAGCAGGTGAGAATGTCCCCCGCCGTCCTTTGGTTACCTAGACCCAAATCGCCGTTTGAAGTTCTAAATACCATAGGACATATTCGGCATCAACTGTCACTATAAAGTTTATTTTAGGAATAAGTAATTATTCTTCTACGTCATGTGACAATTTATATGAAATTTGGCTTGGTACTTAAAGGGTAGGCCGGTGATCCGGCGATAGCCAAAACAGAGCCGTTGTTTGATCCCAACAGAGCAGCCAACGGTTGCGTCACCTATGTTCCGGTGGTGGTTAGGTCTGGGTCCAACCAGTACAATACTGTATGGTGGCTCCTGCTGCTTGGCCTACACGTAGCACATAGACCTATGCTGAACAGGACGCGGCCCTACTGGCTAGAGTCGAGCAGAACAAAACATCGCGGGTAACGGAGTCAGCTGGAGGACAATCCATCCTCAACCCCAATAGGTTGCCATCTGTGTAGCCACAGTAGCGGTATGACAGCTGGTGGACGCAATCTATACCGGTATTGGAGATACCGGTACATACTTGGTACTCTGAATCTCACAATTTCTGGACGAATTTGGCCGCCAATGTTGATTGCTCGTAGGACAGCTCGTAGCTGATTCATAGTAAGCTGCCTACTTGGTGCCTGGTGCCTGTGATCTTTGCTTCCTGCTCCTCATAGGGAGCGAAAGAGCAACGAAGAAATGGACGGCAGGCACAATAGGAATACTGTAAGTGAATCCACCAATCCACCTCTAACCAAGCAAACCTCGTAGTTCTGTGCGAAGTAGCATTGGCTCGATGAAATCTCGATTGCCTGCTCGCAGAGGGGATGATGCAGCAAGCAATCATGAACGGTTGGACGTAAATAATGTTTTCTTTCTTGCTACATGTACGATGTACTTCTAGCTAGCCAGGAACTCATAAGATCCCTTGACACGCGTCGCGGTTGTCTATTCTCAAGGCTATCCATACCCCACCGTACTCTAGGTAGCCCATCCAGCCACGGCACCGGAAGTCCCCCGATTAAAGAGATAACGACTTTCCTGTGAAAGTCGCGAAAGTCGCGCGACTTTCGCGACTTTCGCGACTTTGGAAAGTCGCGCGACTTTGGAATGGCTTTCACCGCGACTTTCACGACTTTCGCGACTTTTCGCGACTTCGCTAGCACTTTACTAGTGATTAATCGCGACTTTCAACGACTTGTACCGCAACTTTAGCGACTTTCGCAAAGTCGCGCGACTTGACGCGACTTTGGACGCAAGTTTAACGACTTTCGCGACTTTAACGACTTTCGCGACTTTCCACGATCGCCAATCGGGGGACTTCCCGGTACCGGTATGCCGTAGTTGCGTTGCTCCACGCTCCACGATGAGAACCGTGGTTTCTTTTGATTGGGCGTGCGTCATTTGGATCCTTCTTTGGATCCTCGTCTCATTTTCTAATTCTCACTCAAAACCCACGATCACAGCAGTCAGAGAATTCTTTGTTGTGTTGTGTTGTGTTGTAACGTTGTTTCGTGTAACACCTGACCATGGCGACTCGACGGTACTCTGGAATGCAGGGAGGCCCCCCTGAGCCCATCGTATTGCTTCGTGGACGCAGCAACTCCACCAATCTTGGAGGCGAAGCGCCGCTTTCGCCAGGCAAAGCTGGCAAGCCTGCAGAGGAGCCACCTCCTAAGAAACGCCGTCAGGAACCACCTGCCAGAGAGCGGCCAGTGGAAGGTCAGCCGTGGCCCTATCGCGACTCGTTATCTTTCACCCGTTCCTTGGTTTTCTATGGTACTGGATCCGTTACGGAGGAACATGTCCGAGCCTGCAAACACATTCAGACGTGCCGGTCCCTCCGCAAGAAATACTGTGGACAGCAGGGTGCCCAAGTCAACCGAGCACTCTTGTTGGACCACCAGAAATTGTCATTCCGCATGGGAAAATCAGGCATTGTGGAAATTCTTCACGAATCCAATCCTGAGGTCAATATTTGCGTGGTCCCCAGCATTGAAGAGTTCAACAAGGATTATGATTCTGTGGTCAGCTGCATTTCCGAAGGAGCCATGCGTTCCTTTTGCTTTCAGCGACTACAATTGCTTTCGACTGCTTTCAAAATGCACACCACCATGAACACACAGGTGGAAACGGAGGAACAGAGCAATCTACTTGGAACTGATTTCTACCGAACCATGAAAATTGACAATCACATTCACGCGGCGGCGGCCAACAGTGCCAAACAGTTTGTCGATTTTGTCCGCAACAAACTCAAATGTGAAGGCGATACTGTGGTCCTGGGAAATGGCAAAACGTTGCGCCAGGTGTATCAAGAAGCCGGTCTCGACTCGGACCATCTCACCATTGATGCCTTTAACGTTCTGGCCGATTATTCCGTCTATCAGAGGTTTGACAACTTTAATGACAAGTACAGTCCCTTCAAAATGGCCGATATGAGGAGAATCTTTCTCAAGACAACCAACTACATCAATGGTCGATACTTTGCCGAGCTACTCAAGATTGTTTTGAGCCGTCTGGAAAATGAAAAGGGACACAATTCTGCCTCCGAGATGAGGCTGAGTATATATGGGATGGAGCCGCATGAGTGGTATGATCTCTCCAAGGTAAGGAGAAACAGCTTCTGCAATTAGTATTGTGTCGACTGTACATGTAGAAGCAACTTCTCAATCCAGCGTTTGAAATTGGTTTTCTTCGCAGTGGCTGCTGACCGACTGGAAGTTAAAAGATTTTCCAGGCAACATGCTGTCCACTGACAATCGTTGGATCATTCAGATCCCAAGACTTTGGCGAGTCTACAGCAAGAAGCATCAGGAGCGAAAGCCTTCATTCGGTGAAATGCTTGACAACATATTTGTTCCAATGTTTGAGGCGACTTTGCACCCTGACAAGCACCCTGAAATCGCCAAGGCTCTCATGCACATTGTAGCGATTGACTCGGTGGACGACGAGGGAGCAGCAGAGGTACGCACATCATCCGTTCGAAAGCATGACCACGCACTCAATGTTGCTGCTCGTATCACTCACACTACCGTCACGTCTTCTTTTTCGCATATACAGGAATCTCTGTCGGCTGACAATCCATCGGATTGGAAGTCTGAAAAGAATCCATCCTATGCCTGGCAATGCTACTATATCTGGGCGTAAGTACAAGTACTGGTAGTGTTGCGTTGCGTTGCGTTGACAGGCTCGGCACTCCTCAAGCTTTGGTCTTACTTTCAACTCGGCTTCTTTGAATCTGTTGTATACAGGAACATCTGTGTCTTGAACAACGTGCGAAAGTCCAAGGGCTTGAATATCATCACGTTCAGACCACACGCGGGTGAAACAGGAGATGTCTTGCACCTTGCAGCAACCTACATGCTATGCGAATCCATCAATCATGGAATTAACCTGGAACATCAAGTCAGCTTGCAGTACTTGTACTTTCTGGATCAGGTAGGAAGATCAGCTCTCCGTGGCGTTGCATACGGCACATTAAATTTGGTTGGCTCACCACGCTTGGATGTCGGGTCCGTAGGTTGGGTTGTCCATCTCTCCGTTATCAAACAACTTTCTCTTTCGGAAGATCAAGGACAACCCTTTCCCCAAACTCTTTCGCCGTGGTTTAAATGTGACATTGTCCACAGACGACCCCCTCCTTTTCCACATGTCTGACGACGCCCTTCTGGAGGAGTATTCTGTTGCACGAGCGAGCTTTGACCTTTCCATGACGGATATGATGGAGATTGCACGTAACAGCATTCTCCAGTCAGGTTTTGAAGACGACTTCAAGAAGAAATGGCTTGGTGAACACTACAAGAAGGGGGTGACTTTTTGTGACGAGGTATGTGCCTTTGCTCCAGGTCGCAAACTTCATCTTGGTTGGCCACCTAGGCTGCTCCAAGTCGTTCATCTCATTATCCCTTTCGTATTGTAACCCAGCGCATCACACATGTGCCTTTGATTCGAGCAAAGTACCGAGCAGAGCACCTCGCTATCGAACACATGTTTTGCCACCTCATTGCTGCTGGCAAAGGTGACCGAGTATTGGAAGAAATGAAGATTCAGTTCGGTCTCGCACGAGATGCGCACAGGAATTGTCTATTCGACAGCTTTGAAGAAGTGCCAACCTTCCCCGAGCGCAGCTCGTTGTAGAGATACCGGTACCGGTAGGTACGGTAGTAGTCCTGGTCGTCGATCGATCGAAAAAAGTACGATAGCGACGATCTTATAGAATGCTATCTGTAGCTGGCTAATTGTGAAGTCGTCATCCATCAAATTGGTGGTTGCTGACTGAGTGCAAGAACGACGAGAGGCTAGTCAATACCATGCTCGCGTTTGAATCTTCGGCAGTGTGTGTGTGTCAAATAGTGGCCTGAATAGTTGTTACTTTACTATGTTAATTTGGTGGCGTGTGCGAGCGTGATTGATGTGTCTTGTGCAGTCAACTTGAACTTATGCGTGTTTCTGGGTAAGCAAAGGGCGGAAAGAGGCGAGCGACGAGAATTTAGCGTCGTTGTCCCGTCATCAACTGTTGCATGATGTCTTTGGTGTATTTCAGACGCTTGGCAAAATCAGGGTTGTTTCCGACCAACTCGTCGTTGAAATGGAATGTCTGGCGCTTTCGGAACTTGTCCACGTAGGTAATGAACCTTTGGTCAGGCGTCAAGAGGATCTCGGTTTGGTCGTAAAACACGATTTGTACAGTCTGGTTGCTCAAACGGAACAGGATAGCATGCTTCGTGCGAACCCATTTCTTGATGTATATGTAGTCATGCTCGGCGCCATCCTTGCTCGGAGATCCGTTGTCGGTGCATTTGCTCTGTTGTTCCACCAAATAGTTGTGAAAGTGTTTGAGAAGGGTGACTTTCTTTTGTAGGCTCTCTGGGTAGACGTCTACTGTGTACGTGGCAGTCGACGCCTCCTTGCTGCTCCGAGGTGAAATCAATTCATCATTTCGGCGCCGTTCAATGTACTGGAAGGTGACGCCGTTAGCATCTAGAACCGTTTTTGTTGAGTCGTTGAAGTACACTCCCGCACTAAAAGAGAATTGGTTTTGGTCAGAATTTGAAACTTGTAATAAGCCACGAGAAAACGGAGCAACAACTACAACTCACCTTCCATCGTTCAACAAGAAGCCAAGGCCGTACTTGCTTGTGTAGTCAACATAGCGTGAAACCCACTTGTCTGGTCCGCCTCGATTAATTGGCCGGGGGGAAACAGAGTGATAGGAGCCCTTTCTGGAATCCGTGACCAGCATTACATTTTCCAAGTTGTCGAGCATTTGATGCAAGATATTGGAATCGGTCTCCACCGTCATCCCGGTAGTTGAATGACCTGTGTTAGAGGCGGCTGCGGACGCGACTGTGGCACCGGATTGGGCACGACCAAGATCAGGCCTCGCAACTTCCTTGCGGCCACTCCCTGAGTTTGTCTTCACTGAGAGCGCACTGGTTTTCACCACTAGGTCGTCCGTGCTCGAAGGAGATGGACGAGAGGAAAAGGATCCTCTGCTTATGGATTGCACCCGGGGTGTACGCGACTCCGTTGTTTCGTCGTAGATTTGAAATGGGCTGGCTGACGATGTTCCTGACGAAGGTCGATTGTTGCCGTTGAGAGTCCCCTGCGAATTGGCAGTGGCTTGTGCACCTTGCACCAGACCCTGCACGTTGATGACGTCCCGACTGGATTTCTCCTTCATACGATTGTTTCCTGAACCAGGGCCATCGACATTTGGGTCTCGTTGGCCAAATGGGCGTCGCTGAGATCCGCCACGAGGCAACGTAGGCTTTTTAGTGGGTCTGGAAACGCTGTACTTGTCGTTCGATGAGCGAGCAGGGACCACTTCTCCAAACGCGTTGGAGGTCCATTCGGGGGCCGTATGTGTAGCTTCAAGGGGAATTGAAGTCGGCAGCCTATGCTCAGCCAAAAACTCGTGGTTGGAGATTTGAGTCAGAGTTGGCCTGGCCGTTAAAGAAAAGAAATATAGTGAGTCAGTCATCATATTGTTGTTTGGTCAAGAGGGTGCTCAAAGGAAGATCGTGGTGCTTACCTGTCCTCTGGCTTGCTTTTAAGCATCGAGACAATGAGATTCTTAGCAGTGTCAGAGACAGGAATGTGGCTTGGAAAGCTGTATTCGTTGGCGATGATCCGCTGATAAGTGGCTTTGACATCTTTGGCCTCGTATGGCGGTTTGCCTACTAATACGGTGAAGAGAATCACGCCCATGGACCAGATGTCGACTTCAAAGGAGTGCCCGCGAGTGGCCTTGTCGCCCTGAATGACTTCGGGGGCAATATAGTTGGGTGTACCGCAGATTGTCTTTCTCTTTTCATTGACATCCTCCAGCTTTGTTGCCAGTCCAAAATCGCCAACTTTGACGCCAAGGTTTCTATCCAGAAAGAGGTTGCCTAGCTTCAGGTCGCGATGAATAACACAATTCTCGTGGAGATGAAGGACGGCGTCGAGGAGTTGTCGCATAAACAATGCTGCTTCGGGCTCTGTCAGACGTTTTCGACGTTTGATCATTTCATTCAAGCTTTGATTGTGACACAGCTCCAAGAGGATGTAGCAATTGTTGCGGTCTTCAAAAAAGTGCTTGAACTCACAGATATTGGCGTGTCTCAACTGTCGATGGATCTTGATCTCTGCTTGTAGCTGGAGGAGGGAATAGAGTGGGAGAAACTGATGAGAGAGTAGTTGCAAGAAGAAGTTCAATGCGACCTTTCCAACGACAAATACTTACCTTTTGCCTTGCCCTGGCCTTTACTAGATTTGCTTTGGGGACAATCTTAACGGCATAGTTCTTGCTAGTGTCCAGCGCTGTGCACAAGTAGACCTTTGCGAACCCCCCTCGGCCAAGCAGACGGCCACGAAGATAACGATGCAGAGTGTATCCATCGCCATTGACACGCCTTCGCTTTTCTTCGATAATGATGTTTTCGTTGTCCGAGTTGTTTCCATCAGGTTTGGCTCGGATGGCTGATGTAGATCTCTGGGTTGGGCCTCTCTGAATGGACTTGGATCGTCCACGGTCCGAACGACCAACGCTTTCGGATCGGGTCGGCTTTGCATTGTTAGAAACACCACCAAAGGCTGGATGACCAATCTGTGCTAGAGTGGCGGAGTCCTTCTCTTGGCTTCTCCCGCGGAAATGTTGAGAGCCGCGCTGATGGGTTGATGTTGAGAATGATGTGATCCTGGCTTTGTTGTTCTCGTTGTTGGATGACTCTAGCGTCGAAAGACGGTTCATGGCACCATCGCCTGAAGATGACAAGGCTGACGGTTGCTGCGAGAAGTGATGACGTGATTGTAGCGGCAAACGGGCTCCGTAAGTTGTCGTGGCCATCTTTCCAACACCGTACTGTTGCGATCCTTGGAGTCGTCGGTCAAAGTCCAATGTCATGTAGCAAGTGAAAAACTCAATTCGGGTAAAAGAAAACTGTTTGTCGGCAATTGAGCAAACTCAGAAAATGACGAAGGGACAATCCTCTGACTACAGCACGGCTCAAGTGAACGACAGCGCGGTCGTTTCAAAAGAGGTTGGAACTTCAAAATCAAAATCAAATCAAACTCAATCAGTGCATCATGAGCAACAAGTCAAGGAAAGGAAAGCACTTGATGGTGCTGTGGACTTGAAAAGAGGGTGGTTGCGTTGTGAGGGAGAAGGAGCTCTGGTTGCGCGCTAAAAACGATCATGCCGTTGTGCAGTGGAGCTTCCTCTCTTAAATGATTTTTTTCGAAAAAGTCACATTTACGTTAAAACAAGCAAGGCGAAGGACGAAAATGAACAGTGAACGAAGGCACTCCCACCTTTCGATCAACACCAGACGGTTAATCGGAAAAGGCTCAAAAGCTCTACAAGTCTACCGGTACTATCGGTATCTACTGGTACTAAAAGGCATGTAGCTAGCTAGCCGGTACATACATGTACGGTAGATCCGGCATAATACATGCCATAAAATGTACCGCCACCGGTAGCCGGCACCGGCATGGGTACAGGTATGGCCATGTAGCCAGGGTCCATCTGCAACGTGCTGCTCTGGTTCCACGCCACACAAGGTGGGTACTGTATCTTATTGTTTTGGTCTTCGCTTCGCGTTCAGTTCTACTAGATGCGTTGCATAGCTACCGGTAGAGTGCACGGTTGGTACCATACAAGCACCTAATTAAACTACATGTACCGGTACATTGGAGACCAATCAACAGTGAATGAACTCCTTACACCATGTTGCAACTTCGTTGGCGTTGTTACTTCTAATTCCATGGAACTTGCAGCACATGGCTTCACAGCAGCTACAATTAACAAAGAATTCAACATCCTAGCTACAAGAAGCTAAATACGACTACAAAGAGAGGAGGAGTGCATTGTAGCTAGCTACTCGAGTAGACAGTAGCTTTTGCCTCTCGTGGGTTGTGCTTTCTGGATGTCACAGACCAACAAAGCAGCAAGTCGTCTTCCTCTTTAGAAGCAATTCGATACCAGAAACGAAGTCGAATGGATCCCTGCCAATGGATCCTTGTTCTTGGTAAGAATTAGACGCAGATCGTCGTTTTCATGACTCTTGCTTGGGCCTTGGGAGAGGATTCTCTGGGGGTCCAGTTGTCTCGCCTGTGCTTGATTGCATCGCTCTCCGACGAGGACGGAGGCTATGGTGCAAATTTTGGTTCATGGTCTGCGAAGCTCTTTGTGTGAATCCAAGCCATGCTCTTCTTTCTGCGCCAGTCCTCCAGTGGACGAGGATTTGGTTCTTTATCAGCTGCGAGGCTTTTTGTGTGTTTCCAAAAGGATGTTATGATCTTCTGCGTCAGTCCACCACTGGAAAGCATTTCACTGCAGTGCAACAGCCTGTTAGGCCTGGCTTCTGAACCTGCCAACAGGGACCAAAATGAGAGTCGTAAGGTTGCGAACCAAGCTGGCACAGCCGATCCTGCCTAATCGTAGCCTGGTTCATTGGATCGAAAGAGTCAATTCCCCAACCCATACAGTCGTAAAAAGGTGGATGTTATTCGAGCCTTGCAACCATCATGAACGGGTATACTCCTTAGTTCTGGTGAGTAGAGGAGCACCTGCTCTCCCTGTTTGTCAGCGGCTGTCAAAGGAAGAAGCAGTCGCTCTTCTAGCTAGGCGTCTGTAGACATACCGTTGACATCCTTACTGCTGCTAATAGTTTGATGGCTATGTGTACAAGTAGTTTGTTGGTTAGTGGCTTGATGCCAGGATCAATTGCATCCAAAATTGTGCCAACGGTTTATAGAAAGTGTTGGCATCCATATGACTGTGATCCTTGTGATGGGTGTGGAGGGATTTGGGAAAGACATCCAGCATCAAGATTGGAGAATCACTATTTGAATTGTATTCTGTCAATTCTTTGGTCATTGCCTCATTCCATTCCTGAACACGTTCGAAGGTCTGGGGCCATCGGTGCTTGCCGGTTGGCTTTTGGACTTGGTTTATGGTGACACGAACAAAGCGATCGCAAATGGGCTTCATGTCTTGGATGAAAGACATGGCATTACGAGCATGTAAGGTTCCATTGACAGGAGGATTGTCAATGATCATCTCATGGAAGCCAGTGTTGAAGACACAGATGGTGTGGGCATCTTGCTTGTGCTGTTTTTGAATGTACAACCTGATTGTTTTTTGAGTAGTGGTTGAGTTTTTGGTTTGAAAGGCCCGGTCTTTGGTGTATTCCATTCCAAAGTACTCAGCTCGAACAGGCAAGCGTTTGTGCTGCCACAACTCATTCTTGCAGAATGTACAGCGCATTCCACGCATGTTTGCAGGTTCGCGACTGGGTCCTTCTCCTTGGATGGGATCTGGTGGCACTAGTTCTTCGGCTGCTTGTTGGATTTCAGTGGTTCCGTAGTAATTATGCTTCCAACGATTGGTTCGGTCAGTGTCCTCCTTGACTTTGTCCCAATTGCTCGATAGAAAGGGAATCTGTTGGAATGTTCTGGCCATGGTAGAGTCTCCAAAGAAGAACCATCGTGATGCTTTTGTGGCATTCTCAGTTGCTGCTGCTGGTGCTGCTGCTGCTGCTGGATAGTGGAGGGCGGGAACAAAGCGACTTTCACAATCCAGCAAATCTTCATCCTGATCATAGGCGCAATTCCAATCCAATGGTTTGTTTTCCGCAGCTGTAGCGGTACCATCCGACACAACACTGCTTGTGTCCGTCTGCTCGCCAGCTTCAAGCCTGGCCACTTCAGCAGCACCGCCATTGCTCGCGGGCCCGGGCAAGACACGCTGGACATGAATGGACCTCAAATTCGTGCCGGCTAGATGAAGTACAGCCCCAAAAACTAAGAAGGACTTTAACATGGACGATGCGTTCATGGACCTGATGGTGTTGTCGCTTCTGTCTGTCATGTTGCTCTTTGTTGTAATTCTACCTTTGCTACAGTACGCGGGTTGTGAGCCAGCTGTAGCTGTATTTTGTAGCCCTCAGTTAGTTACCCGTAAGGATGCGTGGGGATGCGGTACGGTACACTGTAGGCGATCGCGGATCGTGGGTCATCGGCTGACTGCTGTGACTGGACGATTTTTCTCAGATCTCTACTACCGGTAGTCTAGTGTCTCCTCTCCTACTGTTATTGCGCAACGACACCGTTATTGTCCAACGACAAAATCCGACGGCTCTCTTTATAATGTATTTATCGCTGGATGTCTTTAATAACATGCACACGCTTTAGCCAATACATTACTTAGTGTGTGAGCCAATTTTGGACGCTTGAGACAGGCAAGAAAGGTGTGATTCGTTAGCTGGCAGGAGGCAATGAAACGTGCGAGAAACGTTTTTCTCACTATCGATCCAACACAAATCCAATGAAAGACAACTCCACGATGGTGGCTTTTGGCTCCTTTACGGCCTCTTCCAGGCATACAAACACTCTATCAAGATGCCTCCAACAGTGGTAGACACCCGCAAGGTTGTTGGTGGAACTTGCTGGGCTCAAGCGAAGCATGTGAGCAGGGATGCCGGTCGAGTTTATGGAACAGCAGCCAGCACGACATGGTTGAAAGGAACAGTGTTGGAAGTCCAATTGAGGAAGAACAACCCCCAATCGAAGCGAGGAACGAACTACATCAGGGCATTGTACAAGGTGGGAGACACAGAGAAGGAAGCCACTATCTGTTTGCAAACTTTGAAGGTGTCGAATCCAACTCCACCTCCATCGCAGAACAACTCCAACACCGTGGAAGAAGATCCAACCCAACCACCTCCGCCACCACCTTCGCCACCACCTCCACCACCAGGTACGACGAACAACAATGAAGAAGACACAGCTACTGGTACAGCTACCGCTTCTGGTACGGCTACTGCCACAGCAACTGGCAATGGCGAATCGGAAAGTGCCAGCGTGGAGGGTTCTTCACATGAAAATCCGGAACAACAGCCCTCACCACCAGGTCGGACACCTGTGTCAAGCAATCATGGCTACGACTGGTACAATGACAAGCCAACCGACGTTGATGTGAATGGTCCAACAGGAAAAAGAATGTGGAGAGTGACATGCCAGTACACCGGAAGGGAATACAGCCCTGGCTGTGATGAGAGAGTCTCGGACAACATGAAGGCTTGGGATGATCCAAAAAGCGACTACAAATACACCCCTTATGACTTTTTTATGGCTATGTTCCCTAAGACGCAACTCTTGTTTATGGTTGAGGAAACAAACAAGGTGCTTCGCAAAGCCAACTGCCGAATTACATCCATTGGTGAGATCTTGAAGTGGTTGGGTGTCTCCTTGCTGATCACTCGGTTCGAATTTGGTGAACGATCTTCCCTTTGGGCTGAGAAGTCAAAGCGAAAGTACATCCCAGCACCCAATCTTGGGAAGACGGGCATGAGCCGAGACAGATATGATGAGCTCAACCGTTACATTGTGTGGAGTCATCAACCATCAGAGAAACCAGAAGGCATGAGCACCCAATCTTACAGATGGCTTCTTGTTCAAGGGTTTGTTGATCGCTTCAATGTGCACAGGAAGGAATACTATGAGCCGTCCTGGCTGATTTGTGCCGATGAGTCCATCAGTAGGTGGTACGGATTGGGTGGAAGCTGGATCAGCATTGGCCTTCCACACTACATCGCATTGGACAGAAAGCCTGAGTTCGGCTGTGAAATCCAGAACGCTGCTGATGGTGTCACTGGAATCATGATGCGTCTCAAGTTGGTCAAAGCTATGGACGCAGATCCAGAGGAACACGAGCAACAGGCATCTGAAGATGGTGACAATGGGTAAGTTCTTTTATGTCCTACTGCTGACTACTTCTTTATCTTCCGTCTTACGCTGCTGTTTTGGTCCCCCATCAGGTATACTCATGGCTACAACGTTCTCTATGAATTGGTTAAGCCTTGGGCCAACACAAACATCACTGTTGTCGCAGATAGCTACTTTGCTTCTGTCCAAACAGCTGTCAGGCTTAAGTCGATTGGACTTCGATTTATTGGTGTTGTCAAGACTGCCACGAAAGGATTCCCCATGCGATATCTCAGCTCCTATCAACTTCCTGCCGGAAGAGGTGATCGGCATGCTGTTACATCAAGGCACGAGGCTACGGGTACAGATCTACTTGCATTTGTGTGGGTGGATCGAGATAGGCGCTACTTTATCTCTACTTGCAGTTCTGTTGCTGCCGGTCCTCCTTGCTTGCGTTGGCGATGGCGACAAGTTGATCCAGATCTCAACGTACCAGCCCAATGTGTGCAGCTTTGTGTTCAACAACCGGAAGCAGCACACAGGTACTACACTGGCTGCGGCAAGATTGATCAGCACAACCGAACACGACAGCAGAGTCTCATGGTTGAAAAGAAACTCAAGACGGTCAAGTGGGATCGACGTGTCAACATGTCTATCTTTAGCATGGTGGTCGTGGATGCATTTGATCTTGCGCAGGGATGTCAAGGTAGCAGTGCTTGGACTCCTCGCAACTTTGTTGAGGCCCTTGCAGAGCAACTCATTGACAACACCTATGAGCAGAGGGCCTTGCGAAGGAGGCAACAAAGGAGTGATGACATTGGAGGGCCAACAAAGGGTGGACCGACTTACTTGGAATCCAAGTACCAACTTTGTGCTCCTACTCCCACCAAGAGGAGGAAGAAATCTGAACCCACCTGGCGCGAACAAGGACGTTGCATGGTTTGCAGGAAGAACAGCTCCTGGTGTTGTCGGCAGTGTCAAGAAGCTTTCCCACGTGTGCAGGACAAGCAGTTTTGGATTTGCAACAAGGCCGAAAAGAAGTGCATGGGGTACCACATCCTGGAAGCGCACCCCGAGTACAATTCTAAGAATCGGAGCAACATCGCCAATAGTGGAAGCGGCGACTGTTGAGCCCGCAAGCCATTCTATTGTTTAGGATCGTCTATGGTAAGTGTTGCCGATTGCCTTGTCAACGTCTTTGTCGATTGCCTATGTGACGAAGTATCCGTTAGCTCACATCTTTTGCAAAGTTTTGAAAATGTGAGTAGGTTTTACTGGTCAGTGGTAGAATAATAGCCGTTGTAATTGTTTAAGAACAGAAATTCGAACCTGGTGTTCTTTGCTTCGTACAAATCTACAGTGAGTGGTAGTGGCACCTGTTTCTGTTCTGACGCAATAACTTTTTGTTATTTATTAAAGAATTTCACCAGGTGGCGAGACACTAGTTAGTGGCCAAAATATATTAATTGTGTGAGTCTAAAGTTTAAAAGGCGAGGTCACAATGAGGAACATTGTGCAATTTAAACAGTAGTACTGCAAGGTCGGGAACCAGACTGCAATCCTTTTTTGACAGTTTCTCAAATGAGAAAGTTTCTCATTTGAGAAACTAAGTTCTGAAATGAGAAAGTTAGTTTCTCATTTGGTTGAAATGAGAAACTATCTTTTGAAATGAGAAACTATATATGAAACTGCTAGTACATGTGTTGTGATTTCTGCCAGAAATGAGAAACTATTTTATCAAATGAGAAACTAAAACTGTTAGTTTCTCAAATTGAGAAACTAAAAATGAGAAACTAAAACTAAAAATGAGAAACTAAAACTGTTTGAAAAATTTCAAAACATCATGGGGGTTTCCGGACCTTGCAGTACTCTACTCGAGTACTTTTCTTCTTGAAGGTCATTGCACATCATTTTCTATAGTGGTGCCGAATACCGGTACGTACACGGAACTAGTTTTAAAGTTCTTAATAAAAGTTCTATGGTGTTAGATCGTACTATGCTATTAATAGTACTCCTACTCCAGTAAAACTGCTAGGCACGCTAAAGATTCGGAGTGAACTGGATTTAACAAAATGCCACTTGCTCGTGTTCTGTATTTAATAAAATGTCACTGGGAGTCAGAGTCATTGTACCGTTACTCGACACTTGCTTACCGTAAGGTACAGTCGTACAGTACCAGGTACACGGTACAGTATGTACATACCGGTACACGGTAACAGTAAACCGTACTAGCTAGTACTGGTACACCGCCACAGCGACAAAGCATTGCAATTTTCAATGGGACCTGGCTACCGGTAGCTGGGATACAACAGGATAGCAGACTGTAGAGTACTGTAGCTTCCCACTGAGTCTCAGATGAATGCCACATGTATCGAATTCGGAAGTTGTTTCGTGCAGATACTATCGATCATTCTTCTTCTTCTTGGAACCGTGATCCATGGCCCCCTGCCAGATTTGGGGGATAACTTCCCAACTCTAAATCAGCAGGTTGGGGGATGCTGTGCCCTTTTTCTTCCCGGACAACATGGACAAGCTCAATTAGAATCTCCATTTCCAAAGCTTATGCCTTCGTCAATAAGACTTGCTTTTGTCTTCAATTCTGCCAGAGCAAGCTCACACTCCAGATAAATAGCTAGACGATGTAACAATGGTCCATGTTACCCTATGGATTACGTTGCCCTCATCTGGGAGAAATTGGTATTAATAATCGTTCGAGCACCAAACGTGTATTCCGTGTCCCACAGTTTTCTCTTGGACCTCTACAGTCCCCATAGTGTTTCATGAGAACTCTGTCTGTGCTCGGAATTAATCGCAGGAAATAGCACGGGGCTGGCTGCCAACTGTCCTTGCATGGGACAACCAAGTCTGGTGATGCAAGAAAACCTGCTGGCTGTCTTGTCTCTAGAGTCAAAGCCAACCTCCGATGAAGGTTTTGGTGGTCCATTTTCCCCAAATAATGTGAATACTGCGGAGTTGCCAAAGTTACCACAACTCAATTCCTGGAAGCGAAGGAAGACCTGCTTGCATGCAGTACGTATCTATGTGCAACTCAAGGTGCTCCTTTTGCTTGATAGAATGTGCAATCGCCTCAATCAGGAATGACACCTCTTTATCGAAAAGGGCAGCCTTCCCGAACAATTTCCGCTGAGACAGTCCGCGTTTTCATGGCACCATGAATCAACATCCCTCCGTGGTGAACAGATTTTTGGATCATCATCCGTGGATCTGTATCCACTGTTGTCGCACCTGCCACTGTCGCAATCTTGGTTGTTGACACAGTTCGCCCCGATTCCGAGCTTACCGTTTTCCAGAGTACAGCGTTCTCGAAAGCATCTTCCGGACTCGCACGCGGCATCACTTTCACAGGGCGATCCACTGGTTCTCAGAAGTTTGATTGCATTGTTGTTGCCTTGTTGTTTGTTGCCCAGGAGATGGCTGGTGCAAAGTTGTTGTTGGGAGGAACAGTGTCGGGATTGGCACTCATCGTTTCGTGAACACCAGTGTCCATCCCTCCACTTGGCAATTTTCAAGGAATTCTTACGGGTACTACAGGGAGACGATAAGAACGATCCTGCCAGTTGGGTCATGCGAGTCCGATACAGTTCGACGGCATGGATTTTTCGAGCCAGGGGTTCTCGTGGTTTGTTGTTGTGCATCCCCAAATACGCGACAGCATTGCCTTCATCTAGTAGAAACACCCTTCCCATAATCTTTCCGGATCTGGATCCAAAGGGCGCATCGTCGTAGATTCCTCCTGACGCATTGATAAAGTTGTAAATTTTGCTGGCACGAATGCTCTTTTTGCATCGGACCAAGTTGGTGACGGATTGCAGTGGTGCGAATGCCAACGTGGTGGGTTTGTACTTTTGTAGATCCATGGTCGCCACTGTGGCAATGGCAGCTCCCTGGGAATGCCCGGTTAAAATCAAGGGGCAATCTTTCTTGTTGTTGTTGCAGGATTTGATGCACTGGCGCAGTTTGGTTCGGAACTGTGAGAGGTATTTGGTATTGTATCCGTTCCAGAATCCCTTGAGCACGGTGCATTTGGTACCTGGTACTCGTTGATTGGTTGGTTTGATATTCTGTAATATATCTATAAGGTTGCGCTGACGGGTCGCTCGAAAGACTCCATAGCAGACATTGTCGTGTTTCACCACCAAGTGGGCGTCATTCAAGTCTTCCCAGGCATCGAATCGTTCGTATGAGTTTCGGTATTGGTTCACCTTGGAGGCGATGTTAAATTCTTGGACAACGTAGGATAATCTGGCAGCCACCACGGCCCTTTGTATCAGTTGCTGGTTGAGTTTAACGAGAGCCGGCGGGGTATCATCCTTATTGTGGAATTTGCCAGCGGGTTGGTCAATGCAATCTTTCACATTTGCACGACGCCGACGCAACCGTGTGATTTGTTCTGTAGTGGCTGCTGATACAGTAGTAGTGGAAAGCAATGAGATCGATAAGAGCTGCAAGAGGAGCCAGATGGAGCCGACCATTTTGCTTGTCTATTTTTAGAATTGGTTGTTTGAAATGAACGGAAGAAGTCAAATTCAGCGAAAATGTGAGGCTGGTTTGGGAAGCCAGAAGGTCGTTGCCGGTTGGGTCGATTGAGTCATCTGAATCATGTTGGATGGAGTCGAGTCTTTTTTTGCTGCAAAAAAAGTCATGTCCACTTCTTCCCAAATCCCAAATGCATGACGACGACCTTCAACAATCAAAAGTGTTGTCAAAACTTCCTCATACCGCCAGTCCATCAGATTAGCTCTGGCTACCAGTAGCTAGCTAGTGCCCTCCTAGATCTTATCAGCTACATACGTGAAATCCAGGAGATCCATTTTTCTTTTATTGGTCTGCTTAATGGCATCAACTGCCATAATTCTGTGAACTTTCTCGCCAGCTACCATTATTTGACACGACAATATATAATCGGCCGGCCCTTGACTACCATACTGTAGTGGCTGTTCTTCTTATCTCTTCATCATCATCCAAAACAAAACAATCAACTTAAACTACTTTTGTCACCATGTCGAGTTCCCGAGGCAAACGCATGAGTCTCCTGGACAAGATGGAGCATATAGCCGAATTGGCAGGTTTGGAAGATTTGGTGGACGACGAAGACGAAGAAGAAGAGTTGGATGACTCTGTGGTCGACGGCGTCAAACTCGCTGGCCCTGGCGGTGACATTCCTCCATTGGACGAAGAAGACGAAAACGAAGAAGGTTCGGATGACGACGATGACGACCTTGACGAAATTGTCTACACGGCAACCGACCTGGGCTACGAATGGCAAGGACCCGATTTGGGGTACGGCGATGAACTCGATTATGGCGCTCTGGGATACGAAGACCAAAGCCAAGTGACGGGAGCATCCGATAGTGTCACCAACGAAAACTCTTCCCTCTCGTCTGATCGAATCATGCGCCGGGTCTCGGGGATTCGACAGTCCACGTCGGGACAATCCTATGCATCCGCTCCAGAACACAGTCGCGATGACGCCTTCTTGCCAGAAGGAGCAACTGCGGCGGTTGCCGGCGGTGGACCCGAACGCAGTGGACAGCAGAGACGATCCACTTTTGGAGGACCCGATGGAGGACTCTCACGACGACAATCGTCACGGAGAGCCATCAATTTGGGATCCATTGCCGGAATGAATAGTCCCCTGGGTATGGCAGGGCTCGGGGATACGGGCAGCAGCAGCACTAGTATCGGACTACAACATGGTGGAAGTGGCAGTGTCTTGCAAAAAATGAAATCGAGGACCTTTGGAAGTCATGCCAGAAGATCGACAAACAACTTCAAATCACGGCGGACGGGAAGTACCATGTCCAATCTATCCACCGGATCAGACTTGAGCTCCATGCATGTAGCAGCGTCAAAACTAGAATCAGGACCCGATAGTGTCTTTGCCGCGGCATCGGTCATACAACAATCACAGGCGACCGCTGCGAAACGGGGACATGTCCAATTCAATGTCGATGATCCCGTGCTGTGCATGCTCACGCTGCTCAATGTAACCAACCGAGGAGATGACAATGAATCTTTTACGGTTGAACCTGTCAACATACATGGATATCCACCGGGAGAAGGAAAAACAGAAGAAGAAAGAACCGGACCCTACGTTTTTGTATTGGCCACTGTCCAGAAAGTACATTTTGATGAAGATGAACGCTATTATTTTGTGGTGCGAGCTGACAATGGAACCGAACAACGGGCGGATACAGGTGGGTGCATGGCTATCTGCCATTTTTGTGTTTTATCGAGTGATTTCGACCAACCAACAGTGACAAGAAGAAGCAGATTATTCCCTTGAGAGAATCGAATTGTTGCACGGAAGTTCCTGCTGATGATTTGATATTATATTGCTCCCCATCAGCACACGCAACTCACATACTTATCGTTCTTGCTCTCGTTCTTTGTTTGATCAATAAATACGTGAAAGGCTGGATGGAACCACTGCGAAATCCTGCTGGAGTCGAAGCGGCTCGACGAGCTGCCGAAAAAACTGGGCTGGCCATGAAAGAAATGGAAGAAGAACAACAAAACCAGGATGGAATAGGCCAAGTGGCGATCGGTGCCGCCATGGTCGTTTTTGCCTTGCCATTACGGTGTGCCAAAAAGCTTGTACCATGGTACAGACGATCGAGGGCACATGCCAAAGTCCAAATCACACATTTGCTATACGGAGATTCGAGCTATTCATGTAGGTTCCGATGGACAGGAATCAATGTGCTGGTCATTTGCAGCTTTGTGCTACTCTTTTTTGAGAATGTAAAATTGGCCTTCTTCCCGGCCGAATGGGATCATGCCATGGCTGTCATTGGCTTGTAAGTAGTACCATTGGACTATTGCGGTATGGGAGTGGCTTTGTTGTGGAGTCTTTCTAACGCTGTCTACCAATTGCCGCTCGGGTGGTAGTATTGTGTGGTGTATACTGGGTCTGGAACTATTGTTTGAGTATTTGATTCGACCTCCAGACTACCCCGATCTGATCGAGTCGGACCAAGCCTATGCACCGTCTACTGCCCGTCACATCAATCTGTTCCATTTGGTTGGGGAAACTCTAGCATTGCTGCTGTTCATTCCCGAATTAGACTGTCTCTTTGACGCGGGCGCATGTGGGCAAAGGGTCAGATTTTCTGGGCTATGGGCGTCCGTAGTTGCAGTGGATGGATCGGACTCGTCGAGAGCAGCACTTGGCCGCCTGTGTCTTGGGCTTACAAGCCTTAGATTATTTGGGCTGGTGAGGCATTGGAAACAGATGTGGATCAACAACACTTTTGCTGACGATAAGAAAAACCCCAACCTGGTGCGAAGATTTCTTTTGCTGGAGTACGAAGGCAAAGGGAAAGATCCTGCAAAGGTATGTGTCCCTGTCGATTTTATAATTTTTTTTATTCGCCTTCAAGCGGGAATTCTCACGATACGGACCGACTGCTTGTTTCAAAGGACGATAACAACACCGAGAGGCCAGGGGGAGGCAACGTGAATGAGGTGTCAACGGAAGAGGACCAACGGCTCAAGAATGCTGCCACTATTGGTACTGCTCTGATGGTTGTCAACTCGCACAGAGCCCTGATAGTCTTGTACGTTTTGCCGTGGAACCTCGATGTGTTGCGCGAGAACCGATCGAGTCTCATGATATTCCTCTTATGACGTTCAGGGTTTTTATTGTGACAGTTCTTCCTATGATCATCTCTTTCGAAAGTCAAAATTTTGTGAATCAGGGACTCGTCGACCTTCTCCATGCCAACAATATTGCCGCTTTCCAAAGTAGTGATGACTGCGATTACCTGAGAGAGTTTGTTTACTCATGGCTACTCACAGCCGAAAATATCCAGCCTGACTCCAATCTACTGAATACAAACATGTATTTGCTGTACGCGAAAATCACCCCTGCTCGATGCGACTTCCAGGATCCGAACGGCGTCATCACCTTGTGTGACAGCAGCGCCGCGATGCAGCTGGACACCTGTCGTCTGTGGCTGAACACAATGATGCTTGACAAGCAAGGTGCCCTGCCGCTGAATAATCTCACAGACTATTTTGCCAAAGATATGGGCGTCAGAGTGGGTGGCATCCGTGAAATTAACCGTTGCGTAGCGAGTCCAACGAACTCGTCGGCCTGCGAGTTCGAAACGCACGTGATTTTCAACGACAATTTCACTGTCTCGTTCACGTAAGTTGTCCTATGGTGAATTCTCTGGCTCTTCCTTGCCTTTCCATGCTGCTGATTACTAAACTCCTGTGCTCTACTCTTTAGAAACCTGGGATTGTTCATCCTGCTTGCAGCCCTTCTGATATTGACAATCTTTGGTCTCACGGTGATGAGAAATGATGCTGGTCGCCTCGTTTTGGACCCCCTTCGAAGAATGTTGAAAATTGTGGTTCGATGTACGTTGCAACAGCATGCTCTGGCGTGTACTATCCCCCATTCTTTTCGTGCCTTGCTCACAAACCCCCCCCCCCGCGTCACAGACGCCGAGAATCCTCTAATGGAAACAGGAGATCTTAGAGGAAAGAATGGCAAATCTGATGGAGAAAGTGGAGACGAACGCGACTCCGAATCTCCCCAACTTGGAAACTACGAAACGGAACAGCTTATCAATGCCATTGCCAAAATTGCAGATCTGCTTCGAAAATGCTGGGGAGTTGCAGGAGCCGGAATCATTTCAACAAATCTTGCTCGTACCAAGGAGGGAAAAACTGTTGTCTTCAACCCAACTGTTCCAGGAAAGAGGGTGTATGCGCTATTTGGCTTCGTGGCAATCAACGGATTTGACAAGCAACTCCATGCCCTCGGTAGGGACGTAATGAAACTTATCAACGACGTTGCCAAGGTCGTACACGATGAAGTCTACAGATGGGCTCTGGGGGACAGTGGCCAATGCAACAGAAATCTTGGTGCAGCTTTCCTTATGGTGTTTCGGATTGGCGATTTCAACGAAATACACAACAAAAAGAAGCTTGCTCAGGATGTGGTATTCAACACACATGGCCGAAGTAGCAACAGAAGGAGTGCAAATGCACTGAGGAAAAGAAAGGCCTCCAAAGGGAAAAAGCGAGCAAGCCACCGAAACATTGACATGGGTGCCGATGGCACACTGCAACTTGCTTCGTTGCCAGGAATTCAAGCTTTCACTGACCGAGCTCTCTTGGGAATGCTCAAGTCCTATGCTGGAATTCATCGTGACAAGCGTCTCCTCAACTGGAAAAAGGACTGGAGGCTTGGTGCTGGAGTAGGAGCATTCACTGTGAGTGTCATTTATGGCATGGATGCCGGCTGGGCTGTGGAAGGTGCCGTTGGCAGTGAGTACAAGATTGATGCCACCTATCTTTCGCCGCATGTTAACATGGCATCGAGAATGATGAGTGCAACAAAGCAGTATGGTGTCACAATCCTGCTCAGCCAGGCCGTAGAAGAACTGTTGTCTAGGCCAGCAAGGAGCAAGCTACGGCATCTCGATACAGTCTTCGTGAAGGGCAGTAGTGTTGCGCAGCGTATCTTCACGTATGACGCAAGACACGAAGGGGTGGATTTCTTTCTGTTTGAACGTTCTCCTGATAAGGCTGACCGCGATGCGGATGCGTACACCGACAAAGTTTGGGAGACGGATCAGGATCTTCGATCGATGCGACAGCATGTGAAAGATGAATTCATGGAGCGATTTAGGGAAGGCGTCGACCAGTACATAGACGGCAAATGGAAAGACGCGATCGAATCACTTGCGACGGCTGACGACATGATGATTCAAACCGTCATCGAAGAGGGGTTCATCGACTTCGACCCTGAGGAGTATGGTGAAGATGTCTTTGATCGCTCCATTCGAGACGATGAGATTGTACGAATCCGGACAGAGTACGGCGACGGGGCGTGCAAATGTCTGATCAACTACATGGAGCGACGGAACGGGATACCACCAAAAGATTGGGTCGGCGTCCGCAAACTAGACAGCAAATAGAACACTACTGTAAGACGCCCTGCGCGTACGAAGGCACCAGCAGCAACTAGCACGTGTATTCATTGTACATCGTACGGTAGGTATCGTTGACAGCTTTTCAGAAGAAAATGGTGCGGCCGTGCCGGCCCAAGCGAACTGGACATTCCCAACGTCAAGACGGGAAGGATACCGCAGGAACAGGTTTGCCAAAAGCTTCTTAATCTTATTCCTAGCCTAGCTAAAGCAGAAACAGAAGGGTGCTTGAGACAGCAAAAACCAGCCACTGAAGCGAGGCTCCATGGTTGGCGCCGTCGGTGCTGGATAGTCCTCCCCAGCAAGAGTCAGCGTCAGGCGTGGAAAATGGCGTTGGACAAGTGAAGTCGGCAGCGCCGACACAATGTGCCTTACACCCGCCGTCACATTTGAACGAAAACTTCGAGTAGCCCTCGAAGTGTTCTGAATTGGAACTAGTATTGTACCAGTCGCAAAACTTGGCTGATTGACAGACACTGCCATCGGCTAAGTTTGCATTAAATGCACCATCTTTTTTTATCGCAACTGCTGCACAGCCCAGCCCTTGCCATCGTAGACTTCATGAGGACAAACCGCTATCGTTTGGATTGTGAAGTTGGCATACTCCGCAGGTGGGGTATATAATCCATCCCAGATATCAATGGACTGCCCAGAGTACTTGTCAGCAAACTTCTGGATCTCCTCTGAGTTCTGAATCACGCTCACGTCCACGAACGTCTTGTCACGATGACAGAGGAAAATGAAACATCGAAGCAATCATTGGATTCTTCCACGGCAAAAAGCATGTCACTGTTAGTAGAAAACGAGGATGTTTGGGTCAACCACATCCTCCCTTTCATGGGTATTGGACTGTACGCCTTTGTTGGAGCTGTCAACAAGCAATTGCATCATTACTATCAGAAATACTGCAAGACTGTAGAGCACCCTCCTGCAGTATACAAATCTTACAATGCTGACCGAAGGCGCATTCCCAATTGGGTGTCTACCAAACGCCCAGCAACCAGTTTTGATACATTTTACAGAGCAGCATTTCGCAATGTTGCATGTGCCAAATACTGGTTCAAGCTTAGAAGAGAGACTTCAAACCATTCCAAGCCACCCTCAAGTCATGTTTGCAGGGAAATTGCTGAAGTGGGGACTATACCTGTTCTTCATTGGGCACGCGAGGAAGGATTTGAACATTTGAACTGAATGAATCCGCTTTGCTGGTGCTGCTGAATGTGGTCGTACTTAAGTGCTACAGTGGATTAGGAAATATAGGTGGCATTGGGATAGTTGGACTTGCACTTCAGCAGCACAAGGTGGACACTTGGACACACTGAAATGGGCTAGACGCAACGGTTCGACTGGAATGGAGAGACCTGCTCTGGTGCTGCCTGGCAGTCACATAGGGGTGCTGATATGGGGCCTAGAAAATGGATGCTATTGTCATTGGGGTACTAGAGTATGTTCATCCGCTGCTGCTGGCGGGCATTTGGGGATATTAATATGGCTCCTTGAAAATCGATATATTTGGAATGAGTTTACATGTTCGTTAGCTGCTGGCGGCGGGCATCTGGAAGTCCTCATGTATGCTCATGCGCATGGCTGTAAATGGAATGAAAACACTTGTGCCAATGCTGCTAGGGCTGGAGATTTGGAACTCTTACAATGGGCCCGTGCAAATGGATGCCCTTGGAACGAGTTTACCTACCATCGGGCAGTGAAACATGGACACACAAGGTTGAACCAATGCAACCTGGACCCTGTTTCTCTTATGATAGACTTCCCTTGGTCGGTGGGTCTTTCTTGTCATTGCCTGCTTGGCGCTTGGCACTTGGCTATCATCCTTCTTTCTGGAGTCGAGTCCATCACGTCGACCCACCAGTATCATAGCATACCGTCGTACTGCGATGTACTGTTATACTGTCGTACCTGGTACCGGTACCTGGTACCTGGTACCGGTTTACGTGTATGATACGGCGCCACCAGGGTTGAAATTAATCCAAAGCAGATCGTTCTCAGGGTGGGGGTTATTAGATCCAAAAACGTGACACAAATAACGTCCCCTTTCTTCAAGCCGACACGCTCCCATTTTGAATTCTGTCTCTTCACATTTTATTGCTCTTTGGACAGAGATTTCAACACCATGGCACCCTTTCAGGTTCCAGCCTCGCTTCATGACTTGGAGAGAGCTCCCTACAACCTACTTCCCTACCCGTTGGATTTCGACGACGACGATGAAGCGGCAAGAGCAGACTCCTTTCTTGATTTAGTTCATCAATTGGAGCAAGGCAATCGCACGCTTTCGAGTGGAGGAGTTTCACTTTTTACGGCTGCCATTGCAGCCGATGACGGAGACAGTGATGAATGGATGGATGAAGACCGAGTACAGGCGCTCTACACATTGGTTCGAAAATCGATGTCGCTGTCTCCAGATACTCGATTACGCTTGGTCTATGCTCTTTGTCAAGCCCTCAAAACTCTGTCTTCGATCCTCGACACGGAACCAGTAGACAGCGAAAGCACAGTGGAATCCCAGACATCCAGCCAGGTCATGCCTCAGTCCTTTAGAGATGCCTTTGCTTGTCACCTTTACATGCTATTTTCCATCATGTTCTACCAGGAATCCGAAGCAAAAGTTGGCAACAGTCTGAAATCAGGAGGCGGCAACAAACGCGACAATTCTACCGACACCCAATCGGCAAATATACGAGCTACTTGCGCCGATGCAATGGTGGTCGCAGCCAAAGCAATGGCCAGCAACAAGGCAAAACTTTGGCGTCGCGGAGTAGTTGATGAAAGTGTGGTTATTCTTCCTGCTCGAATCGGATTCCAAATGTTGGAGAGTGCCACGGGTGTCGTCGCACGCAAGGCATGTTCCGCGGATACCGCCATGGAAATGATCGCGGCAACAACCGAATATTCCGACGAAGGAGCTCTTGGTACCGTCGTCGCAGCACTCATGGATTTGATGCATTCGTTCGAGCACATGGCCCCGATTTGTGCTGAATTGTGCTGCCTAGTGCCGGAAAAGCCAACAAACCGACTCGCCAACGAGCTGCTGAAAGAGGTTGGTCGACTCAACACCAATGGAATGTCTGGAAATGACAAAGCCAGTGGTATTCGAAATGTGGCGCCATTCATTTCACATCTTGCGGGGATGCGTCCTCGCCTCGTCCTCAGCAATGCCGCTTACTTTATGCCGCATTTGGATTCGGAAGTGTACCATCTTCGATCTGCGATTGTGACGTGTATTGCATCCATCTTGTCCAATACTGCAGGTGACGAAGAGGGAGAAGGACAGGGAAATCCTCTGGATGAAGCAAACCGTACCTCTCTCCTAAAGATTCTCTGTGACAGGGTACGCGACGTGAGCTCCTTCACCCGAGCGGCGACCCTCAGAGCGTGGATCTCGGTTGTGCAATCTCGATCGTTGCCGGCAGAGTGGTTCATTCCTGTGACTGAGCTGGCCATTGACCGTTTGAACGACAAAACCATCATGGTTCGTCGCCTCTCGATGCAGGTACGTTGACCCTCCATCTTACTTTGCTGTCGCGAAGCGGTAGATTCGACCGATTGTGCTAACATGCAATGCATTTCCGTATTCTACTTTTTGCATAGTTGCTAACAACCGTTCTGGAAAACAATCCTTTCATGGGAGATTTAGAGCCGGAGAGATACCAAGTCAAGCTAGCAGAACTCCAAAAGTTCGTATTGGACAATCTACCGCAGAACATCAAGGAGGCCCACGAAGCGGCACTCGAGGAAGCCACCTATTCGGCGGTAGAACAAGACACAGAACGAAAGGAAATTGAACATGCCACTTTGGCAGCAGCCATCGTTGATGCCGAGACTTGGAAAGACGACGAGCTTACGGAGGAGCAAGAATTGCTGCGGAACAAGGTTCAAGCTCTGACATTTACACAAGGTTGCTTGGACTTTATTGCACTGTTTGAAAGTGCCAACGAAGCCTTCAACTTCATGTTACATTCCAAGCTCCAAAGCGACGTGACTGAGGCTCTCAAGTTTTATGTTCGAGCGAGGCACTTCAAGTTGCCCTGCGCCATCAGTGGAATGAAAAACGCTCTGGCTCTGATGTGGTCGACAGAGCAAGCCGTAAAGGACGAAGTACGAAAAGCTTTCGTCGAAGTTTTTCTTGCTGAACCAGGAACAGATGGAAAAGAGCTTCTCTCAAGCGATAGAATTGCAGAGAACCTAATGACTCTCATCACTGACGCTACTGTCAGCGAAATCGCCAGCATCGAAGAAGGCATTACATCGCTTGTCAAGGATGAGATGATCCCTGCAGATGTCTTCGTCATCCTCTGGTCAGTTGTATCAAAGGGTTCCAGAAAAGCCAAATCAGCAGCAATGCAAATACTTAGCATGGGTGCTGCGGCAGACAGATCCATTATCAACTCCAAGAGCCGTTTGAAGCTTCTTTTGGATGCTTGTCTTGGCGACTACACCGAACGCTCCAAAGACTGGGGCCTGGCTAGGGCTTCTGCACAGGCGCTGCAAAAAGTTGACAGGGCGACTGTCGATGAAGGATGTGCAAAGTACCTGGTCCTTGAACGCATCATGGAACAGCTTGCTGTTGTGGCTCGTGGTGACTGGTGCTCCGACCATCAAAGCCGCGACACTCTTGAATGGTTCTCGGCATCGGAAGAGGCAATCAAGGCTCTTTTTGGCATTTCCTCCTGCCCCGAAGAGTCTTGCTCTGAAATCGTTCAAGTTCTTTATGCAAACACCTTCAAAAACAGTGAAGGCTCCCAGTGTCATTCCCTGCGATTAGCTCGATTCTTTCACGTGCTTGGCAACGTTGCTTTGAATCTTCTTTGCTACACCGAAGAACTCAGCAGCTCTGTGAAGCAGGCTAATGCCAAAAAGGCAGAACAGAAACAAGTTGACGTAGATGCCAAGAAAGCAAAAAAGCAGAACCCAGCCGACGCTCTGGAAGCAGACGACAGCAGCCAGTCGGAAGACGAAATGGAAGCCGAGCTCGGAATCGCAGCTGAAGTCGAGGCAGAGACGGAACGGCAAATGAGTGAAATCACCGAAACCGAGATTCTTGGGCGCGGATTGGTGTCAGCATTTGCACCAACACTTGTGAAAGTAGTTGGAAACGAAGGCGGAAAATTCGGTTCGGAAGTCTTGCAAACATCCTCCATGAATGCGTTGTGCAAGTTCTGTTGTGTTTCCGCCGAGTTTTGTGAAAAGCATTTACCCCTCATGTTCTCGGTGCTGGCGCGAGCACCGGAGGGAGACACCGTCATGAAGGCTAACACTGTTGTTGCACTGGGAGATCTAGCATTCCGCTGGCCGAATCAGTTTGAGCCTTTTACACCACACCTCTACGCCAACCTTCGTGATCCCTCTACGAAAGTCAGGCGCCATACGCTTAGTAAGTATCGAGAGTCGAGTCAGGTTCAATGACCAATATTTCAGTTGATCTCATGTCAAAAATTCGATCCATCATTTCTCATTGGGCAAACAGTGTGCCTGACTCATTTAATCTTGAACGACATGGTCAAGGTGAAGGGGCAGGTTTGTGAAATTGCGCTATGTCTTCAGGACGAGGACTGTCGCATTCGAGACATGGCTGGTTTGCTCTTTCATTCATTAGCCAGTCGCTCGAACAACCCAATCTACAACCTGCTTCCCGACATTATATCTCAACTCAGTCAATGTGACATTTCTCGGGAGAGCTTCCGTAGCATCATGCTGTTTCTTCTTGGTTTCATCAAGAAGGAACGTCAGAGCACAACGCTCACAGAGAAGCTGGTCCTTCGAATCGATAAGTCTTCGTCCATCTCGCAGCAGGCCGATCTTGCCTACTGTATCAGCCAGCTGAAACAGTCCGACAAATCCATCCGGTTTCTCTTTGACAATTTCAAACTGGTATGTGACCAGAACCAACCCGTGCCACGATTCCTTTTTGCCCCGCCATTCTGACGCCGTTGCCTGCAAACTCCAGTACAAAGATGCATTGCATGATGAAGATGTCTTGAAAGGTAAGTGAATAATCTACCCCCGTCATTCTTCGTGGCGGCCCTCACGTAATATGCCGGTTCCTCCTGTATCTACGTCTTCTAGCGTTTACCGGCATAATCGCCAAGGCTCGAAAAACGGTAAAAATTGATCTCAAGCCTCTTTTAGACGAATGGAGCGACAAAATCAACTCCTCTGCTGAAACCGGAAAGCAAGACAAGGCTAGCAATTCGAAAGCCCTTAAAGCAGCGCAGAAACAGCAGAAAAAGAAGAAGTCCGCAAAGGTTGAATCTGACTCGGAGGAGCAAGACGAAGAGTCCGAAGAGGAGCCACGTCGAGTGCAGCGGACTCGTCGGCGTGCCAAGTCCAAAGCGATTGTCTCCGATGAGGAAGATGCGTCTGGTGCTGATGCGCGTCCAGAGTCGGAAGAGGACACTGATGATCCAGACGAAGAGTCCGAAGAGGAGGAGACGCAAAACACTCAGACTCAACAACAAACAGGTCGAGTGCAGCGAAATCGTCGTCGTGCCAAGAGCAAGACCACCGTTTTCGACGAGGAATGCAAAGATGACGAGGAGACAGAAAAGGAAAACATGACACAAACGCGTCGGGTGAATCGCACTCGACGCCTTGCACCCAAGAGGATTGTTTAATATAGACACGGCATATCGTGGGGATGTGCGTCTTTGCAGCAACGTGTAGTGGATACCGGTAGCACAATGACTTTTCAAGAACTAAATCAATATAACGAGTATGTATCGGTATGTTTCATAGCGCGTTTCGGCTTTTCTATTACGCGTATTACACTGGAAAATACTTTTGAGGCCGAAGACGCAGCTGTTGGCACTCCAAGATCGAGACACAATCTTGCTACTGGTAGCTAGCGCCCAGATCTCGACTTGCTTCTTCCCTTGCTCTTGGATTTGGGTGTGGCCGATGAAAACGAAGAAGATGTTGTCGATCCAAAGCTCAAGGGAGCTGGCGTAGTCGTGGGGGCAGTGCTTCCAAAAACAGGAGGGGCCGGGGCAGCGCCTGTGAAAGCGCCAGCGGCTGGTGCCGGTGTAGGTCCGAAACTAAATCCTGTTGATGGAGCTGTGGCCGGGGCGGGAGCAGGAGACCCAAAGCCAAACCCTCCAAATGACGTAGTTGGTGGTTTTGGAGCGGCGGCTGTCGATGAGGGCTGCCCAAAAGGAGCAGGTGCAGCCACTGCTGGAGCCCCCGCGGGAGCAGACGCCTGAACAAATTGCATTGAAATTGCATTTAAAATTTCCCTTTCTCGCTTGTTTTTAGCGTGGTCCGCCTGATCCAAGACATTGTCGCCCCTTTCGTAAAAACGATACAACGTTCGAACTTTGTCCATTTCCACTTGCAATTTGTCGTAGTACTTGTTGGCCCTATGCACTTGATTTTGTTGCTCTTGGATGGTAATGGAAATATTGGCTGGACGAGCCGTCCGAAGAGCATTTTGGTGTTGTTGCTGTGCCGTCCACAGGCGTCGCTCCAACGCCAGGAGACGCTTCTTCATGTCCGGAATCACTTGCCAGAGGTACTGACTAGGCATTCGCTCGAACCGATCCACGTGTGCCATTTGCTGGTCCAGAACTTCTCGAAGCTGGGCTTTGGCGTCGGCTGTTTCCGCTTGCGGCTTTTGCTCGCTGCGAACGCGTACTTGGACTCCACGCTGCACTGCCAATTGTTCCAGGCTCCAGAGACCGATCGTGGCTTGTTTGTAGAGCTGTTCGTATTCTTTTTTACTGGAATCGGCTACAGACTGCAACTGCGACATGCGCTCCAGTTCACTGATAGTCTCGTTCAACTTTTTGATTTTCATGGGGAGAGAGACAGTCGACGATCCTGGCGTTGTCTCGAGTTGACTCGGGCCAATGGACTGGATTCCCAACACAGTCCGTTTGTGTTTCATCATGGCCTCATGGATCTTATCGATGGCTGCCTTGATATCCGGTGGCAGATTGTTGTACGGAGTCCCTCCCGAAATGACAGAAGGTTGCTGTGGGGCTCCTGGCTGTGGCGCTGCTGCACCTGGACCAAACCCATAGGGAGCTGGCGCCGTACCTGGAGCTGCACCTGGGGAACCAAAAGAAAATCCTCCCGGTGCCGCTGCTGGAGGCGCTGGTGTGGCTCCATACGATCCAAAGGAATAGCTCGACGGGGCAGGAGCAGCAGGCGCTGGTCCAAACGAGAAACCCCCTGGTGCTGGCGCTGGTACTCCAGGAGCTGGACCGGCAGATCCAAAGGAAAAGGCTCCTGCTGCTGGGGCCGCCCCAGCAGGAGCGGAGGAACCAAAACCGCCAAAGGAAAAACCCGCCATGGTGCACAATACCTACGATGTAAACCTTTAGCTGCGATGATAATACATGTATGTGTACGATGTAGGTGATCAATGTAACGATGCGATGTGATGAGGATTCGAGAGGCGACGCCACAAAGGCAAGGAAAAAGATGTCATCATTAGAGTTGAGGATGCGACTTTGCTCGAGCCAGCCGTCGCAGCGGAGCGCAGTCTCTCACATTTTGAGACAGGTGAACCGCGGCAGACCAGCCGGCCCCCAAATCGTTGTTAGTAGTCGATATCTGTCCAGACAAGGTCTAACACAAATAATCGAAGAATCCCTTTCGATCGATCAGTGGAAGAGATTATTTATTCTTTTGAGGTGAGTTAAAATACCATGAGAAGCCCTGTTGTGGAATGGCGTTTGCTATTGATACGAGTGTTGGTGGTAGTAATAGCAGGGATACTGCTGGTGTTGTTGCTGTTGTGTCGTTGTTGGTTGTTGCCGCCTTGTGTTCGTACAACTGGAGGTCACAAAACTGGGTGGTCACTTTGTGAGGCAAACTTTGTGAGGTTCAGTACGGGGCGTACGCAATTTCTACGAGAGATTTATTTTTGTGCATTAATCTGACATTTTTCTTTATTGTTGGCAGCAGTCGTCTCGTCTGATTGATTAATTATAGACTGCCACCATGTCCGCTCCATACCGGCCTCCTCAGTACGGCGAAGAGGCTGGGGAAGAGTATCGACGGTCAGCTCAAGGACCGCCATACCGGGCTGCCGGTCCTCCTCCTCCCCCGCCTCCTGGCGTGCCTGGAAGACCACGCCAAGTCGAACAACACCCTGGAGGTTACCCTATGGGGCCTATGGACGGAGCGATGGCAGGAGCTGCTCCCTATTATCGTCAACCGCATCCCTCGGCCTATGGCAGACCTCCATACATGGGCGGCCAAGGGGGATATGGGGGAGTTCATTCCCCAAATGATTTTGCGAGCATGTATGGCCGCCGTGCTGCTGGCCAAATGTACGGATACCCTCCACCTCAAGGATCTGGCACCAGTCCGGGGGATGTCCAGAGGGGTTATGGACATCCTCCGCCCTATGGAATGCCGCACGCTTCGGCTGAGGCGTACGCTCAGTATTACGGAAGACATGATATGTATGCTCAAAGACCTCATGATGGAATGGTCCCTCATCATCATAATCCGTATGGGCCTCAGTCTTCTCCAAACCAACCATCACCCAACAAACCATCGCCCAATTCAAGGGGCACTCCTCCTGGCATGCCTGGATCGGCTGGATCCAAAGGCCACAGTGGTGAAGACGACGAAGATCGAAATGAAAATGGATCACATTCTGGATCGGGAAGTGACAACGAGGACGAAGACGACGAAAATGAAGAAAATCAAGCGGACGGCCAGAAATGGTTCCATGGTTCTGTCCCTCTTGGGTTGGAAGACGACAAATATTGGTTATCTGAACTTCAGGTATATCTGCGATCCAATTTTGCCGAGTCCTTTGGAGCAACCGAAGAGGATATTGCAGGTACGACTGTCCATTGTTATTATTATTTGTTGGATTGCCATTTTAATTCGATTGCTGCTTTTCGTGTCTTTGGGGTTGATTTTACATTCCTTTCTCATCATTCTTTCGTCCATTCTTTGTTCGTTTGGAACAGCTCCGATGCACGGCCGAAATAAACCCATTGCTTTTGGCCAAGTTGGTATTCGATGCATGCATTGCAAGCGTAAGTGTTCATTCAATAATCTCGATCCGCAATACGTGTTTGCTTTGAAATTCATTCTCACCAACAATTTCACAAATTCTACGCAACTAATAATAGACGACAATCCTGCCGAACGTGGACAGCAAGCCACTTCGTATCCCAGTTTAATCAGTGGCATTTACAATTCCGTGCAGCAAATGCTTCGGCTCCACCTTGATTGTTGCTTGTCGATGCCACCCGATGTGAGGCAGAAAATCGAGCAGCTCAAGTTATCCAGTTCCAGCAGGGGTGGAAGGAAGCAGTACTGGATTGACTCGGCCAAACGCTTGGGGCTCGTAGACACCCCTCATGGAATCCATTTTGGACGGGACCCAACTGGTCCTTTGCCTCCACTTACGGGGCCTTCCGTCAATAGCAAGGAAGGGCGAAAGAAGAAGCAAGAACAGGAGAAAACGGATAATGGAGAGGAAATTGAACCCGTGGAGCAGCCAATCCCAGAGGTGGACCCTCGTCCTCTCGTGTTTGAAGAGGATCAACCGCTCATTTCGGATTTCCTTTACTTGACACTCGAACAAATGAGCCCATGCAAGCTTATGGAAGCTGATCGAGTTGGCTGTTACAAAACACGCAAAGTCGGATTTCCTGGATTGGCATGTCGCCACTGTGTTGGTCAGGCTGGCTGTGGCAGATACTTTCCAGCATCGGAGGCATCCCTCTCGCAAACAACGACATCTCAAACCATCATGAATCATGTGAGGAACTGTCGTCGTTGTCCTGTGGATATCCGAGAGAATTTGGAGATCATGAAACGAGCCCGAATGGGCCCCGACGGAAAACGAGCCGACAAACCCAAACACGGAGGGCGGAAGGTGTTTTTTCATCGCCTATGGTGCAGAATTCAAGGCCTTCCCATTGAGGAAAAGGGCGAACCTATGAAGGAGCCCCCTGCGGCGAAAAAGAAGAAACCCCAACCTGCCAAGAGAGCCAAGAAGAAGACGGATTCTGACGAGTCGGAAGGAAGCGGAGAGGAGACCGAAGAAGAGGAAGGCTCCGATCCGGGCGAGGAGAAGCAAGGATCTCCACCAGCAAAGTCCTCTCCAAGAGGCTCTGTGGTGTCACCAAAGAAGCCAGCCAAGATTCCTTGGTTCGAGGGCTGTGTGCGTCTCACAAAATCTGACGACCCCAAGTGGGTCTCCGAGATGGAATGCTTTGCTAGAAGCGATCTCGTAGAGGTCTTTAGCCTCAGGAAGGAGGACAGCCTGGAGGGGTACAATGGGAAGAAAGAGCCGAGCCTTGGACAGGTTGGGGTTCGCTGTGTCTTTTGTAAGGATTTGGACCCAGACGAGCAACCACTGGGATGCGTCCAGTTTCCGGACTCTTCGGCAAACTTGCACAACGTAGTTGGAGATATGATCCGGTTTCACTTTCCGTCTTGCCCTCGCCTTCCAGACGACAAGAAAGAAAAGTTTCGTTCCTTGAAAGGATTCGACGCCAAAACTGCTGGCGATGACGCACAACAGTATTGGATCGATTCGGCACGTGATATTGGACTCTGCGACCTGCCACAGGAAGGCCCCTACGCAGGATGGGGGATTGCATTCCGTCGCGATCCATTGGAGCCAAGCCCTGCGGATGACCTTGACAGGGAGATGGAAGGTGAAGCCGTTGAAGTTGGTAAATCGGCTCTTGTGAAGGCAGATGAAGACAAGGGCACTTGTACCGACCAAGTGATGCTTTTGCTCCGGAATGTAAAACCTTGCCGTTTTGACAAGAGCGATCGCCGTGGCGGCCCAGGTGCTCGTGGTCGAGATCGAGTTGCAGGTTTCCCCGGCTTGAGCTGCAAACATTGCAAGAATGGGTGAGTATGCTTGGTTCTTCGAGAGAAGTTGTGTGTTGGCACTTGCTTAACATTGATTGTTTTCACTTGTGTAGGCGATACTTTCCAGTGTCGGCAAAGAATCTGACAGACAGCACTGCCAATTCGCTCGTGGGTCATGTGGCTGGCTGTGCCAAATGCCCAGAACCCATCAAAGCTTCTCTGGCCTATCTTACCCATCGCAGTGTGCTCCAGAAAGCAGAACTTGGTGGGTCATGGAAGAAAACTTTTTTCAAGAAGGTCTGGGATCGTTTGCACTCAGAGCGAGCTTGGGAAGGTGAAGAAGAGGAGGTTGATGGAAAGGAGGGCGATGAGGCTGGTTCTGTGGATGGTTCAAACGGAAATGACGGGGGCGGCGATGATGGTGATCCAGCTGCCGGTAATGGAGGTGGAGACAGTGAGACCGAAGACGAAGAGTTGGGCGAAGGTATGGAAAACCTTATTGCTGCAGCCGCCATCTGGCTCACAGAACAAGAGACCACCGATGGAGGCTCTCGCGGTCGGTCATCGAGTCGACGAGGACTACCCAATGCCAAGCGCCCCGCAAGTTCTCCAAAAGGCGGAGGGGGCGGCGGAAGCGCGTCCAAGCGGAGACGAACTTCATAAATCCATGGAGCTTCTCCAAGCTTATGGTCGGGGGCCAGTACCGGTAGGGTCAAACATGACGTGCACGTCAAGAATCGGAATACGAGCTGCTTATAGGTATGACAGCAGTTTTTACTACATAAACTTCTATATCAGAGTTTCTTTTTATTGTAGATTAGTTGGTATGTATCGTCCATGAAACTCAAGCAAAGAAGAGTCAAAATCCGGCACAGCCAAGGCTCCGTTGGCTACCACAGTGACAATTTACCACAAACAAGCCACTTTCCAGCCCCACAGCGATACAGGAAGCAGGTTCCAGCCCTTGTAGCCTGTCTACCTTATTCAAGCAAAACCAACTGAATTACCTACACTCCTATCAAGGTCCCTGGGACTACAGGTACAGTTGAGTCCACCTGCTGCTACAAGAGCCCAAATCCAGGCTGACAGGTACAATCTACACCTTCCTGTGGCAGAAACATGAGGCAATAATGGCATCAAATATCAGGAGGCAACTGGCTGAGGCCCTCTTTGCCCCAAACAAAAAGAGCAATGTTGACACGAGATTGGATTCCTCCAGTCCTTGCTGCTGAAGATACTGTCCCACCTGGATTTTCGGTTGGGGGACTAGACTCCGTCCCTGTTTGGTCCTGCCAACCAACCCCATGAGTCAAGGGACATATTTTCGGGACAGGAAGGTTGCTCCATTGGAGTCTGCTGCCGCTGGATTCAGCCAACCAGCTCCACAATCTACATTGAAGAAAGACTCACCACTGAGCTGTGGCCCCATCAATTCTCATGTTTGAGAAGTGCTGATACCTTTGGCTCTCCCAACCTAACGGCTACCACGTTGCTAAGACTTCAAGAAAGTGCAAACCACGCACTCCGTAGTATTGTGAATGAACCACATTTCAGTGACTGGTGGCATGAAGAATGTTGCAGTCCTATGGTTTGTGAGACCTGGCAACTTTAGCATTGACGATGATCCATCCTGTTCCCTGCTACTACAAAGCAACACTGACTGAGTTCAGAGTTGGTTGCTATGGTTCAAGATTATAAGCTCCTGGGGAGGCCACCCAAGGAAGATTCTTCGCTCCGAGTCCATCATCCTGTTTCAAGGGCAACACAATCTACAGTTTGGTCCCAAGGATTGTGGTTGGGATCTAGCAGCATAGCAAGCCATATGAAATCATATCATTCACCTGTGGCACTACTGCAAGAGCCAATCCATTTGCCCTTGGGGGACCAATGACTTTCAGAGCAAGGGCTCTAGATTTGTCGTAGCAACGTTCGCTCTAGTGGAAAGGCAGCTCATGCTGGCTTCTTGATTCCGCCCCTCTCCTTCTATTGTCAATTAAGTCAGCGGGAGCTGCGATACCTCGGCAGAAAGACAGATAGAAGAAGGAGGATCATGTTCGAGATTGCACCCATCTTTCAAGCCAGTGCACCAGCCCTGGCGACAACACCCGACTACGTCGTGTGTTGCCGCCCGGTATCATTCATTCCCTATTTGCAACCTTCTTTATTAAGCTAGCCCTGGCGACAACACCCGACTACGCCGTGTGTTGCCGCCCGCTACTCTATAATTTACCAGCTGCCATTCCCTTATTGTAACTCTAACCTTTACAACTCCTGCTGGCTTATTGTGATGTTGTGCTGATTGCACTAACCTTAAATATTAATGATTTATTCCTACCCCTAACTTGTATTGAACCATCAATGTTCAGTTTTGTTGGCTTATGACTATCTCTATCCTTATACTTTGGCTTCACCAGAATAGGAAATAGGAAATAGGAAATAGAAAATAGGAAATAGGAAATAGGAAATAGGAAATAGGAAATAGCATTTAAGTCAGCGGGAGCTGCGATACCTCGGCAGAAAGATAGATAGAAAAAGGAGGATCATGTTCCGATTGCACCCATCTTTCAAGCTAGCCCTGGTGACAACACCCGACTACGTCATGTGTTGCCGCCCGGTATCATTCATTCCCGCATTGCAACCTTCTTTTTATTAAGATAGCCCTGGCGACAACACCCGACTACGTCGTGTGTTGCCGCCCGCTACTCTATAATTTACCAGCTGCCATTCCCTTATTGTAACTCTAACCTTTACAGCTCCGCTGGCTTATTGTGCTGGTTGCTGATTGCTGATTGCACTAACCTTTTAAAATATTAATGATTTATTCCTACCCCTAACTTGTATTGAACCATCAATGTTCAGTTTTGTTGGCTTATGACTATCTCTATCCTTATACTTTGGCTTCACCGGAATAGGAAATAGGAAATAGAAAATAGGAAATAGGAAATAGGAAATAGGAAATAGGAAATAGCATTTAAGTCAGCGGGAGCTGCGATACCTCGGCAGAAAGACAGATAGAAAAAGGAGGATTATGTTCCGATTGCACCCATCTTTCAAGCTAGCCCTGGCGACAACACCCGACTACGTCGTGTGTTGCCGCCCGGTATCATTCATTTCCGCATTGCAACCTTCTTTTTTATTAAGATAGCCCTGGCGACAACACCCGACTACGTCGTGTGTTGCCGCCCGCTACTCTATAATTTACCAGCTGCCATTCCCTTATTGTAACTCTAACCTTTACAGCTCCGCTGGCTTATTGTGCTGGTTGCTGATTGCTGATTGCACTAACCTTTTAAAATATTAATGATTTATTCCTACCCCTAACTTGTATTGAACCATCAATGTTCAGTTTTGTTGGCTTATGACTATCTCTATCCTTATACTTTGGCTTCACCGGAATAGGAAATAGGAAATAGGAAATTCGTTTTTTTTTTCAGCGTTCGTCTCCAGATTCGTTGGCTTATGACAGGTTGCCGTGTTTCTGTAACAGTGACGGCACCGTTACCGGTACCGTTACCGGTACCGTTACCGTTACCGGCACCGTTACGGGTTCCGTAACCGTAACGAGTATGGTATCAGTGTTGGAAGAGAATGTTTATCGGATGAGGCTACAAGGAGGACGACGAATTCGTGAGTTTGTAAGTAGCAAGTGGACGACAAGTTTGTGTTGTAATTGTTACGATGTTATTGCTAAATTTTTCGAATGTATCATTCCGTGTATCGAGTAAATCCCATTTCTTGATTTGAATCCTTTTGTATGTTTGTCCCGATGTAGTTCCTTTTGTTGTTTTTGGGTAACGGATGGATGATTTGTTTGCGCGAGGCTGTTCAGAAGAAGTCTAGTTCGCTTCCTCTTTCTTTTCTTCCTCTTCGTCACTGGCCACAGCAGCCAATTTGGCCTCTTCTTCGAGGATCCAAGCGGTGTAGTTCTGGAAATCTACAGGGTCGAGATGCTCTTGCCAAGTCCGTATTCTTCGATGATGTAGTTGGGAACGCTTCCGCGGGGCCAGACGAGTAAAGTGTCATCGTGCTCTTCTTCAACAACTCTTCAACAGACAACTTGGTAGAGCAGGAGAGGACTGCTTGCAATCTTCATCGGTGAAGATGTCACTCCAGTATTGAACCTCCTTGACAACTGGATCCGCGAACTCGTACCGGTATTTCTTCTGTTTGTATCGTGGTAGCTCGTTCATAGCAGGGACAAAGAGCTGTTTGAACCATTCCTTGAGCTCATCTGGGGTGGAATGACGAGTCGAAGACTGCTCCCAGAATGTGAATGCCTTCATCTGATAGTCCGTAGACGACATGACGGGTTCCATCGCGCCACTATCTCCGGTGCCTGAGAGAGGAAGCACATACACCGCGGCAGGCTCCACGGTCGCTAGGAACTTGCTGTGGTGTGTGAGATTCTTTTTGACATAGCAATTCTGGACATGCAATTCGCCTTTCTGGGGACCATCCATTGTGACAGCGAATCCATTGTAGAAGGCTTCGCTGGCAAAATCGAAATCACCAGGAGGCTTCACTTGATAGAACTTGACAAGGTCAACGCCACGGAACTTCTTGGCAGAATCAGAACGTGGCGACGTCAAAGTGGAAGCTCGCTTGCGCTTTCCATCAGGACTCAAGAGAGCGTTGGTCGACGACATGTTTGATGATGCTTCCCTGTAAAGCAAGCATGTAATTAGAGAACGAAAATGTCAGTTGGCGATGGGTAACGTCAGCCGTCTAGAGAGTTCGCCATTGTCAGTTACCTTTGCAGCGATAGTTAGAATGGTTTCAAGTTTTACTTGAAACCGATTTGTGAGAAATTGCGAAATTTTGGCTTTGTTTAGGGCTGAACGAGTATGACATGCGCGTTGTTTATCAGTCTATTGGCAGCATGCACGCCCGCCATATAGAAACGGAACAATTGATGCACGCCGGCCATATAGAAACGGAACAATTGAGAGGTCTAGATTTTGATTCGGAACGCTTGCAAGTTTCGAGTTCTGGTTCTGACATCAATCGTAAAAAGGGTACGAAATGTGAAAGGTTAAGGTTTTGTAGAAAAGAACCCTTCGTGTTTGTCGCCAGAATGATGGTTCGCTGCTGTAGAGTTAGAGTTTTCATGAAAAGAACCTTCAACGACATTGTTTACTGAAATCGTGACTCAATAGAGTTTAGGTTTTGTGGAAAAGAAGCGTTGCTAATGTCTTGATGGCAACGGCCTCTTTTCTCTCATGTGTCACGCGTTATTCAAACGTTGTTGTATTATGTGTCCACGATGGACGATGATGAAGATGGTGAAGACTACAGTCCGATAGGAGTACTGCCATCAGTGCAGTCTGTACAGGAACGCATCAATAGAAGATATGACGAATTAATTCATGTGGATGCGAAAGGAAAATATGTTCCTTACGTGTGCCTGGTTTGTGACGAGTTCATCATGCATCGCGATGAGTTACTGTGGTATCGCCTAACTGATCTTTTCAAGTGCAAACATGTGTTAGAGTGGAATGCTGTTATGCATGAGCATGAACGTATTCCGGCTGTTGAAGAGAACTTCCGATTTGTGGATCATGACGATGCAGTGAAGGACCCTTCATGGCTGCATAGAATGGGCCTTTCTCCCCGAGGTATTGTAAAAAAGGGCAATAGACCCAATGCTAGTGGTGTTTTCAGCTGCTGCGAACGATGTTCTTCTGCCTTGAATAAGAAGCGAACCCCGCATTTCGCTATAGTGAACCGTAACCACATTGGGAGTGCACCAGCTTGTTTGAAGGAACTCACACCTGTTGAATTGGCTATGATAACGCCGGTTGAAGGATACGGGTA